TAAAGAGTTACCCAGTATCACTCAAAGCATCTTTTACAAACTGTCTGAGTGACTGTTATGTTTCTATTGGTTGTTATTATCCTCTGATATGCACATTGCAGGGTCTTTCCACAGAGGAGCTCATCTGAGGCTTTTCTGCATGGGAAAGATGATGCTAGGTTCCTCTCCCTGAGGAGATGCTGACACTGGAGGTCTGGAATGCAAGGCCCAGGCTGGGCTTAGAATGACCACTGGATTGTGCAGCCACTGTGCTACTGGGGACACAGGTAACATGGAGGTGGCGACAGTGAGTGTAGAGTCATGCACACCTGTGTTCCCCACCTTCGTTCTGTGGGGTGGCCAGGCTTGCCAGAAATGGACATAAAATAAGAGAGGGAGGGGCATTATAAGAGTAAAATGCTCCTCCCACCCCAACCCCCACTTCTGGGGATTGAACACAGGGACATACCGGGCAAAAGCTTGCTATGTCCCCAGACCCAAAGCACTTATTTTTCAACTGCTTCAAAGCCATTGGTTGGTTTATGTTCTAATTCTTACAGGAATCCTGAAGGATAAAAGTAGCAGGTAGCCAAACTCTGTTCAGGTAATTTGTTTGTTTTAAAATTTCAGTAGCGCAAAATGGCAATTCTTGTACTTCTTTCTTTGTGTGTTTATTCACACACACACACACACACACACACCACACAAATCTATACTAGATACTTTGGGACATCTCTGAGGAGGTTCAGGCAATTATTTATGAGAACTGGCCAGTAAGAAAGGCAATGAACCAGTCAATCAAAAATATAATCATAGGTTTTACAGAGATGTAAACATACTGTAGCATTTTAAGTATGTATGTATACACACATACACACACTCCATATATACATGACAAAAAGTGTAATCTGCATTCAGAAGTTCGAAGGTTGAGTCAAAGTTCCATGCTTATTTGATCCATGACAAAATTCCATTCCCCCCCCCCCCCATCTAGGGGTTCTCTGGTAGCCATGGGTGTCCTGGACTCACTTTGTAGACCAGGCTGGCCTCAAACTCACAGAGATTTGCCTTCCTCTGCCTCCCAGAGTGCTGGGATTATAGGTGTGTGCCACTGAGCCCAGCACAAAATTCCAGTTCTTGATATGGAAAAGAGAAAATATTTGTTGTAAATATTCCAATTGTTTGTTCTGAAAATTAAGTATCAGAATTTACTTTATAAAATGGTAGTTTAATTTTTGATACGTGCTATATATTTAAGGAATGCCAAATATTTAGTTATAAGAATCATTAGGGTTTGGGCAGTGGTGGCACACACCTTTAATCTCAGCACTCAGGAGGCAGAGGTAGGCAGATCTATGTGAGTTTGAGGCCAGCCTGGTCCACCTGGCCAAACAGAGTGAGTTCCAGGACAGTTCCCTGTCTCAAAACAACAACAAACAACAAACAAACAAAAATAATCATTAGGGTAAATGTCCTGAACAAAAAAAGACTAAAAAGACTGTGTTGGTGGGGTGACTTTTACACAGAATTTGAGATAGAAAAGAGCAGGGGGGGGGGGGAGGAGCAGGCTAGGCAACCCCACGGGCTCTGCCTTAGAACTGGGCCAGGAACAACTGTGACTTACTGAGCTGAAGGACTGCTCCTGACAGCCCGTGTGCCCAGTTAGCGGTTACTGTAGGCACAGCGGGCTGTGGGCATTAGACTCCTCCGTCAGGAGCTTTAATTGACCGTGAGGGCAGTTAAGCCCTCTGCCGGGCTCTGCAAAGAGGTGTTATCTGAGGACAGCCGCAGCATTTTGAGTGTTAGCTCTGGCCAATTTTGAAGCTAAAGAAGGGCCGATTAAGAAGATTAAACAAAAATATAACTGACAATCCTGTGTTTGGCAGCTTCCCAAGATGACCGTTTAAGTGTTTAGCATCTGAATTCAGGTCATGCAATCAGCGTAGCCACAGAACAGTGATCATTTTCCCACCTGTGCTCGGCATTGAGTGGCTTATGTTAATAGTGAATGTCGTTTGAAGCCACCAGCAGAGGGCAGAGTAGAGCTGTCAGGGTGTCAGTTCGATCTGTAATGTTGACTGGGAATTCAAGGGCAAACCATAAAGGGTGCGGGTACCAGGACCACCTTCAGGACACTACTCTAGGCTCTACTGAGACAATTAACATCAGAAAAGTATATGACTGGCTCCCACACGCTCACCAATTAAAAGTATGGAACCATGACACATCTATATAACTATAGTGATGGTGATGATAGTTCCCACGAATAATGGAATAGAAACAAAAATTAAGATAGATAGTAAGGGATCCAGAGTAAAATCCAGCAAGTGTTTACTTCATCAATCAGTTTAATTTTTCTGTTATCTTATACTAAGCAGTCATCAGGTTTGAGGTCTTTAAGGTGTAAATTTAGAGGAATTGCAATAAACAGTTAATTCTGTTTAGAATCCCTATATAGGCTAGAAGAGGGCTTGGGATCCTCTGGAACTGGTGTTAAGGATGTGAGCCACCACGTGAGTAATGGGAACCAAACTCAGGTCCTCTGTAGGAGCAGCAGGTGCTCTTCTCTTCAACGTTAAGCCAGAGTTTCTGAAAGGATTGCTGGGTGTTTCGGTTCGTAGCACTCACCCTAGCGCTGAGGAGCCTGAGTATGGGGACTGGACAACTGAGGTCAGGCTGGGCTACAGAGCAAGACCCTGTTTGAGAAGGGGGGAAGAAAGACCTGGGAAGGTAGCTCAGTGGTAGAGTACTCGCCAAGTGTGTACAAAGGCCCAAGGCTGGCCCTTAGCACTGCAAAAATAAATTAAATTAAAAAAGAGAGAGAGAGAGCTGTCAGGGAATATCTACTTCAATACCTCTGTTTCATGGATTTGGAAATGAAGATCAAAGAGATAGTGATTTGTCGTAAAAGGCAGACACAGAGCTTGGTTTTCCTGGTTCTTGGTCCTATAATTAACTACCACGATGGACGTGGAAAAATGTTTATAAAAATGTTTCCTATTTGTAGGAAGCATAAGCTCCTTTTTTCTATCTTAGGGAAGCGGTGGCATTTTGGTGTCATTAAGAGGCCAATACAGACTCTTCTGTATTGTTGTTGTAGTGTTCACTTGTAAAGTTACAAAACAAACATGCTTTATGCTTTGATTTTTTTAATTGAAATGATTCTATCTTGTTTCCAATAATTATATATTTCTAATTTTATTTGTTCACTTTTATTATTTGAGACATTTTATGTTTAACTTTGTTTAACAGTTATTTCTCTCCTCCTCCTCCTTCTTTTCCTCCTCCTCTTCTCTTTTGACAAGGACTTGTAGGACCAGACTGGCTTCGAACTTGCTTCATAGCTAAAGATGACCTTCCACTCCTCCCCTGTCTCCACCTTCTGAGCACAGAGATTACAGGTGTACCCCCCCACACCCAGCGTGTGCTGTGCTGGAGGTTAAACCTGGGCTTCATGACCACCACCAAATGAACTGCATCCCCAGCCCCTAATTCTGCTTGCAGTTTTGATAGCACAAATGAAGTACAGAAATGTGAACAGTTGCCTGTGCATAACTGACATAGAACCACAGAAAGGAAATAAAAATTTAGAGTCGATCTCCAAAAGACCATCCAGTGCCACTCAGCGTACCCAGTAGACAGTGTTGAATTTGTCTTGTGAGTTGTCAGGACTGTGTGTTTAATTCTGTCAAGACATTTGAAAAAATAAATTAGATTTTTTTTTTTTAAATAAGGCAGATTAACTAAAAGAAGTTAGTCACCTAAAACTAACGTGCCGTAAGTACACTGGACCAGAGTTTCTAAAAGTGTGTTTTGAATACTCTGGCATCAGAATTACTGTGGATTCTGTAAAGTGTGGACTCCTGGGGTTCCCCTTTCTATAGTTCTCACTGATGTTGAATGTAAATGCACTGGCTTAGACTGAGTGAGATCCGCACCAGGTCCTGGACAGACGCAACTATGATGATGTCCCACATCGCCAGATGTTTATCTGACCTGAGCAACCGGGAGAGTGGCCACAGCCAAATCCCCATGCAGTTCAGTTTCCCTGTCAGGATAAGGCTGTGCTGTTTTCACCCTGACAAGGGGAGTGATGGAAGCCAACCAATCTTTATGATGCTATTACATGATGCTTTGTATAACGCCATTTCCTCTTTCCTGCCAGCTCTCACCTTTAGGCTTACCTCTGTATTTCCAAAGCACTTTACAAAAGGCCTATGATTAAAATTGGCAAGATGTAGGAGGGAGCAAAATGGACCAAGTTCTTGTTAACTTTTTGAAAAGTTACATGTTACTGTCGTTAATTCTTGACCTTTGGGTTTGAAAAGTAAAAGTACCGCATTAGCCACTTGTTTGTCGCAGTGAATTTAACCTAAGCCTCAATTTATGGCTAAAACCACAACTGTAACACTACCACTCAGTAATAGTTGACTCGGCCTCACTCTAGCTAATTTGCCCCGAGCGTCCGTTTCACTGTTTCCCCTGGGACAGTTCAACAAGGGACGCTAAAACGAAATACTCAGGATATAAGAAGTACGAAGCCCGTTTCTTTAAGAAATTAAATCGTAAAACCAGCCAAGCATCAGACCTGCAGCATATTTCAGTCAAGAAAACTCACTGAGGCTTTTAAATTCTTAAAGGTGTAGTATGTGTAGTTCCCATATACAAACGCAAAGCAAGATGAAAGCGCTGATAAGGTAAGCTCATTTGCAAACCAAGAAACGCCGGCTCCAGCTAATTAGGACGCCCTGCCGTGACCCTGAGAGACGGCAGGAACCTCACGAGCAGGCGAAAGAGGAGGCTTGAGACCAGGCTGCGGGATCCTGGGCGCCGGCAGACGGGCGCGGGGCTGCGCCAGGGGCGACACCGCTGCCGACGTCACGAGGAAATTATCTCCTCCCCGCCCCGCCCCGCAGAAACCGGCAGTTCCAGCGTGGCCCTCCGTCAAAAAAACAAACAAACAAACAAACAAACAAAAACGCACCTCCACTTGCTCTGAAATAAACCATTTTCTGTTTTAGACTCGGAACTTTGCAAACAGAGGAGAGGACAATGTCGCCACAGCCTGTGTGAGCGGGACCCCAAGTCCCAAGCGTGCGCATGCGCCGAGGGCTACACCTTGAGCCGGGACCGGAAGTCCTGCGAAGGTAAAGGGCGCAGGCACCGGGAGCTATCCTTTCGGACAGGTGGAAGGCGCTCTGCAGAGGGAGCGCACAAGCCTGTTTGTGTCATGTATTAGTGGGGGCTGGGACTGTCCAGGACCTCCATGGGAAACCAACTTCAATCTGTTCCTCCTTCCCTCCATCCCTCCTTTCCTTCCTTCTTTGATTCTCCAGGAGAGAACTTTTTCTTCTGTTTTAATTTCCGTTATATTCTCAGATCTTTTAATAGACTTCTGTTGCCGGACGCAGCCCACTAGAAAGTTGCTGACGGGGCTGATAAAAGGCCAGGATGTTCTTTTTCTTTTTAAAGGTTTATTATTTTTATTTTGTGTTTATGAGGTCCTGCATGTATATGTACACCATATGCGTGCCTGGTGCCTGAGGAGGCTAGAAGAGGGCTTGGGATCCTCTGGAACTGGTGTTAAGGATGTGAGCCACCACGTGAGTAATGGGAACCAAACTCAGGTCCTCTGTAGGAGCAGCAGGTGCTCTTCTCTTCAACGTTAAGCCAGAGTTTTCTGAGTGCAGGCAATAAATCTCTCTCTCTCTCTCTCTCTCTACTTTGTGTAAAATATCAGGATGAGCAATTTCTTTTCTTACATTTCATATATTTTTAGGAGTAATTCTATAGCCACCACCAGTTTGAGAGTATTTCTCACACATCTTACCCACAGAGTGTTCCTTAAACATTTTAACTCAACAAGATCTAGAGAGAACCTTGGAGACTGAATCCACCCTTATCGAGGTCTCCTCCTGTTTGGAAATTCCTGGTCCAATGTAATAATCCCCAGAGAAATAACTCGTTTTCTAAAAGGTGCAGTGGTGCACACATTCCGTGGAATCACTTGGCTTCAGGCACATCCAGCCTATGCCTGTTAGAGTCATGTGCTTGTGCCCAGTGACCTGATGCTGTGCCTTTTGTCCCAGAAGCAGAGGGCTGAAGCCTGACACTCCAGTCGCAGCAGAGCTGTTGAGAAGTGTCTGGAGAAAGACCAAAAGCAGAGCAGGAAATAGCCTAAACTGGCTAAGATATTATGATCTCAGCTTCAAGGGAGGCTATGGCAGGATTGAAGTTCAAGGCCAGCCTGGGCTTCATAGTGAGTTCAAGCCAGCTGTGGAGGCATAGGATCTCTTTCTCCAAACAAAGAGGAGGGAGGCAACATGCAGCTTGGTGACAGAGTGCTTGCTTAACACACAAAAAGATCCTCAGTTCAGTCCTCAGAATCACACACACACACACACACACACACACACACACACACACACACACACACACTCCCTAGCTTTTAATAAAAGGTTAATTGCAGACTGAAAAACCTGAGAAAGTGCTGAGTAACTCTAGCACAACAGGAGTGACTTTCGCGGGCACAGAGCTGATTCATGTCGCCCTCTCTGAGCACTGGAGAAGCAACCTTCCCATGATGCACTGCAGGAGAAGCCGGCGTGAGGTGCCCTTCTTTGTGCTAATTAGGGATAACATCTGACTGTGGGTTGCTGTTGTCATTGTGCAGATGTGAACGAGTGTGCCTTTCAGAACCATGGCTGTACTCTTGGGTGTGAAAACACCCCCGGATCCTATTACTGCACATGTCCTGCAGGATTTGTTCTGCTTCCTGACGGGAAAAGATGCCATGGTAAGCTGTGACAAGTCGTTATTGCATTTTATTTTATTTTCAATTATGTCCCTAAGCTGTTTGTGATCGAAGTGGGTGGTCTTCGATGAGCAGTGTGCATCAAAATCACTGGGGGGGGGGGGGGGGGAAGTATTTCATTTTGCCTTATAAAACATGGCTAGCTGAAGCTGCGCATTGTGGTACAGATTTGTCATCTCAGCACTCTGAAGGCTGAGGTAGGAGAACCACAAGTTCAAGGCCAGCCTGGGGTACATAGAAGGACTTTGTCTTAAAAGCCAACCACCACATGTATAACTAAGCTCAATTACAGGCCTATTAAAAAGAAAAGAAAAAAAAAAACTTTACGGCAAGGGAAATAAAACTATATAAATAAGCAAACACATATTTCTATCTTAACCTAGATTATCTAATATCACTAAAAGAGGGGCAGATAATAAGTAGTCATGATGTGTTATTACATGTAAAAATTAACTCTAATCCCCTTGTGTAATATATGTCAGTTTTTAGATACAATCACAATACTACTGTTACATCCTTAAAATTTGACAATAATTCCTTTTTTTTGCTTTGTTTTGTTTCCCTTTTTAAAAAAATTCTTTATTAATTACATTTTATTCACTTTGTATCCCCCCTGTGGTTCCCTCCCTTCTCCCGTCCCAATCCTTCCCTTCCTTCACCCTCTGCATGCATGCCCCTCCCCAAGTCCACTGATAGGGGAGGTCTTCCTCCCCTTCCTTCTGATCCTGGTCAATTAGGTCTCATCAGGAGTGGCTGCATTGTCTTCCTCTGTGGCCTGGTAATGCTGCTTCCCCCTCAGGGGGAGGTAGTTAAAGAGCAGGCCAATCAGTTCATGTCAGAGACAGTCCCTGTTCCTATTACAATGGAATCCACTTAGATACTGAGCTGCCATGGGCTACATCTGTGCAGGGGTCTTTGGTTATATCCATGCATAGTCCTTGGTTGGAGTATCAGTCTCAGGAAAGACCGCTGTGCTCAGAATTTTTGGTTCTGTTGCTCTCCTTGAGGAATGGATACAGAAATTGTGGTACATCTACACAATGGAATATTACTCAGCAATAAAAAACAAGGAAATCATGAAATTCGCAGGTAAATGGTGGGATCTGGAAAAGATCATCCTGAGTGAGCTATCCCAGAAGCAGAAAGATGCACACGGTATATACTCACTTATATAGACATATAATATAGGATAAACCTACTCAAATATGTACATCTAAAGAAACTAATCAAAAGGGAGGGTCTCATGCTAAAATGCTCAATTCCTATCCAGAAAGGCAAAGAGGATGGACATCAGAAGAAGGAGAAAAGAGGGAACAAGTCAGGAGCCTGACACAAAGGACCTCTGAAAGGCTCTGCCCTACAGACTATCAGTGCAAATGCTGAGACTTATGGGCAACCTTTGGGCAAAGTGCAGGGAATCTTAGGAAAGAAGTGGGAAACAGTAAGATCTGGAGAGGACAATAATTCTTAATAGCATCAAATAACAGCTTTTCTATTATGCAATTGTATAACAAACTAATAAAAATAAAACCTTCAAGTACCCATAAGCTTGTGCTGTAGAGGGTGCTAGTTTAAATTGTCTTTTAAAAGTCCTCTACAGAATTGATTTGTTTGCATAACATTTGTTGGCTTGATGTAGCTGTCTCTTTCAGATTCTTCTTATTATCTCTGGTATAGAATTCTTTAAATTAACTATTTTTATTTACAGAGCTTCTTCCTTTGTGGTTTTTGTTAATTATACTTTTGAAATGTCCCCACAATGTTCTTCAAACTTGTAATTATATTTATAGACCAGATTAGATTCGGCATTGACATTTCTTGGCCAGAATACATTATAAATATATTTGGACTTCCACCAAGATATATATAATGCCCTGATGTTTCATTGTATCTTGAGATTAGTCAGTGTTCCTTCATCTCCTATAGAGCCCACCAGTCACATTTTAATAAATATTTCCTAGATCTATTATTTCATCAAGAGTTTTGAAGTAATATTCTCGTCTTGTCATTTCTTTTTAATTAATAATTAGAAATCTTTTATAAAGAGAACTTTCTCTCATTAACTATTTGCTTTCCCAACACATGATGTTTACAGTATAAGGCAAAATAAGTGGAAATTTGTATTAGAGGACATGATTTGCTAGTGAATTAGTCATTTCTAGGTTTGGAGGGCATCTATATTAGAGTGTACTTACTGAAAAGAGAGGGGAAAAAAAACATTGTGAATTCCCAGGGCTATCCCAGAACAAACTTAGGATTTCATATTCCGATGTCTTCTAGTCCTGGTCTGTATTGGACTCTGTTAGCATGACTAATGTACAAAAGCATGTCTGAAATCATGTCTATCATGTAGTCCTGTTTCATAGATGATGGAGAATAGTTCTGTCTGCATATCATCTGGGTTTATGAAACCAAATTCATCGAAATTGATGGATGATAAACAACATCCTGTTTGGAAATTACCTATCACTGTTGCACATATGAGACTTGATTCTGCCCTATTAGTGAATATCCTAAAAGACTGGGTAAATGGGTTGACTACAGGCCCCATCCAATGCCAGCAATAACACATACAGTTCTAATTCATTCTCAAAGCTTCCAGAACTTTTATGATAGATATTTTAAATTTGCATTTGAATTTACTGGAGTTAATTTTCATGCAGAGCAGGGTTTGCTTAAACCACTCTGCAGTTGTTTCTGTGTTGCTATTGGACTTTGATGTGCACACCCATTTTAACTGACACCTTCCATGGCACAAGCTTTTGTGTGCTTGAAGGTTGTATTTTATTGGGTTTGTTTTGACACACTCTCATTAAGATAGTAGATTGGCCCTCATCTTGGGGTTCTCCCATCTCAGCTTCCTGTGGCTGGGATTACAGGTGTGTGACATTATTCCCAGTTGCAGTCTTTTCTAATCTGAGCTTTCTCTCTTGTCCTAGCGTCGTCTGTCTTTTTCCTGTGTAAGTTGCATGTTAGCACACATACATGGCGTATTCCTATGCACTTGAGACACACTTTGGTATTTGTTAAGAGCCTTTTGCGTCTCTTTGTACATATAATCACACAGATACCTTTACTGTTTCTAACGTGTGTAAACTTCAGGTGAACTTGAGAATCACTTGGTAAAATTCCACGTAAAACATTCTGGAATTCTGATGACTAACAATTTTAAACTTTTTATGTAAAATTGGAGAAGCTCATAGGAGATTGAAGATAGTTTCACAAAATCCTAGCTCTTTTCTCTTTTCTATATTGATATTTTGTCCTTGTTTTAATATTTTTCAATACTGTGGCATCGAATAAATGTTAGATTTTTTAAAATTCAACTTCCTCCTTTTAGAGTCACAATTGAGTATAACAGAATTTCACAACCCAATTTCATACTAATTTTACTTTTTTCTTCCTTAATTAGAACTTGTTTCCTGTCCGAGCAACGCATCGGAATGCGGCCATGGCTGTGTTCTGACGTCGGATGGTCCCCTGTGTATCTGTCCGGAAGGTTCAGTGCTTAAGACGGATGGGAAAACATGTAGTGGTGAGCTTGTTTGCCTTTTGTTGACTTGACAATATGACCCTTCTAAGAGACACTGAAATTTTAACCTTATTGCCAAAGCAGACCAGATCTTCCAAATATCACATATTGATAGATACTTAGGCAACAGATTACTATGTACATTGGCGAGGTTTTTGAGACAGGAGAGTGGCGTGGTTTCTAGAATGTCCTTTGACATCCGGCTAGCATTGCCAGTTCCTAGCAGTATAGTGTAAGTCGCTCTTGTGACCCTATTGCTGCCAGATGGGTGCAGAGTACTCAGCACAGAGGAGGCAGCTAATGACCCTATTCTTTGCTCTTCCTAGAGACTTAAGCACATAGAAACCTTGATGGAACTCAAGGTTAGCAGGAGAGCTTTCAGTAGGTTTTGATTGTTTAAATAAAATATACAAAAAAAAAAAAAAAAGAAAAAGAAAACATGCATTTGGTAGAATTTAGTATTACCCAAATCTATAATTGAAATTAAATAAGTCAAGATTGTTGGGGGAAAAAAAACAAACTACCTACCTAAAAGGCAAAAGGCAAGAGGCCAAAAATGTGTGAGATAGAAAATTGTGTTACTCAGCAGGAAGAGTTAGGACAAAATCAAAATGCTTTCTTTGTCCAGATGGCCGTCAGTGCCTACGTTCCTGAATTCAGTGGTGGAACTCAGGGATAGGCCAATGGAGTGTGAAGGGTTAACATCAAAATGCTGGGTATTGGAGAAGTGGCAACTGTGACATTTTTCTCACTCTAAAACTAAACTTGATGGTAGCAGTATGAATGAGTAAGAAGATGGATCTAAAAGGAAATAGGGTTGGTTCATCAGAGTACTTCATGAAAAATCGTTTTATTTTGTGTGACTCAACACCAATGCCCACGGGCTGGTTTTTGCAGGCTGTTCATCACCTGATAATGGTGGATGCAGCCAGATCTGCCTTCCTCTCAGCCCAGTGTCCTGGGAATGTGGTTGTCTTCCTGGGTACGACCTACAACTGGACCGGAAAAGCTGTGCAGCTTCAGGTTAGTGCCATGACTGTTGGAAAGTCTCTCCTTGAAAAGAGGATTACATTAAAAATAGCATTATGTTAGAAGTATGAAAAGTTAATTTGCTTTCAGGTTCCTGGTAGAAAATATGATTTGTAAAACAAATGTTAGAAGTGGGAATTAGAACCTGTTACTATGAATAATGAAAGTGGCTGCAACACAAATAATGTTTTTGAAGACTATTTTGTAGTTAAGTGGGCATCTAGCCACTTAAAGTAGGGTCTGGTATCTTTAATAGATGAGGAGGCCATTACGGGAATGATCTTAAAGGGCTTTATAGTTAAGCCAAGTTTAAAACATATTTATTCATTGATTTGATTTTGATCTCCCTGGTAAATGTAATAATCATAACACTTTGACAAGTTCTGTCTTTTTCCTTCAACTTTAATGTGAAGTTTTATGCTTCAGCTGTTTCTTTTCATCTGCTGATCTTGCAGTTTTGTGTGTGTGTCTTTCACCATCCTCGGAATTATGCCATCCTTAGATTTATGCCAAATTGGTTTTGTCTGTTGAGGGCTGATTATGCTGATAATCTGAGATACTGTAATTCTGATTCTGCAAAGCTTGCCTGATTCTGACCCCGGTACTCTTAGCTCTACAAGGTCTTGGTAATAAAATATAATAAATCTGAAGAATGATTGGGGGGACCTTATAAGTTCAAAGAATTATGATCCACTTTCTAAAGAGCACCCAGCCAGGGAAAATGAATTGAATTCAACGTGAAGGAAGTTATAGTCATTTGTTTATAGATCGGGTTATTTATTGTTGCCCTTTCTATAAATAAGGACTGAGGGATGAAATCTTGTAGTGATTCTTCACAAGAAGAAATCCTTCCAACCTGCCTTTGCCTACATCATGCTGGTGGGAAACTGAGCAGACTAGTATTGCAGGAATTAAAGAAGATGGTGCAATAAAATTTACCCTGCCTGCATGATGGGCAGGGACCAAACTAGAGAGGAGATTGAGGGAATGGCCAACCAACCTGAGACTCACCCCATGGGAGACACCCAACCCCTGACACGATTAAGGATACTCTGCTGTGTTTACCAACGGGAACCTAGCATAGCTGTCCTCTGAGAGGCTCCACCCAGCGGCTGATGAAAACAGATGCACAACCAAATACTGGGTGGAACATAGGGAGCCTTGTGGAAGAGTTGGGGAGAAGAATAAAAGGACCCAGATGGGACAGGAGCTCCACAAGAAGACCAACTAAGCCAACTAACCAGGGTCCACGGGGCCGCTTGAGACTGAAGCAACCACCAAGGACCATACATGTACTGGACCTAGGCCCCTACACAGATGTAGCCAGTGGGGAGCTCAGTCCTCATATAAGTAAGGGGGGAGGGGAGAACTGACTCTGACAAGGATTCTGTTGCCTGCTTTTCGATCACTTTCCTCTGGTGGAGCTATCTAGCCAGGCCACTGGGGAAGACAGTCCTGATGATGCAATTTGATATGCTGGGGAGGGGATGGGGCTCCCCTACTCCTCAGAGTAGGGGAGGAGGGATAGGGGAAACCGGGAGGGAGGGAGCTACAACCAGGATGTAAAATGAATTAAAAAAAAAAAAAAGAAAGAAAGGAAAAAGAAGGTGCAGTGAAAAGCAAGAGTCAAAACTGTCAGTGGGTCTTAAAGCATATTAAATTCAGCCATATTTGAAATTTTTGTTAACAGGACCACAGCCATTTTTACTGTTTGCAAATTCTCAGGACATCCGCCACATGCACTTTGATGGAACAGACTACAGTACTCTGCTCAGCCAGCAGATAGGCATGGTTTTTGCCCTGGACTATGATCCTGTGGAAAGCAAGGTACACTTTTTTTTTTCCTATGTAAACAGATTATGAAAATTCCGTAAAATGACTGGAGGGTTTTAGCTCCACTGACGATCCGGGCTGCTTGAAAATGCTCTGCCGTACTCACAAAAATTAGAGCCAGAAGAAGTCACATATGTGCGTTTGAGGAACCTTAAGCACTCTTGTACTGTGATAACCGTCTCCTGCTCCTTTTTAGCTGTCCTCCTGGGGACACTGTGCAGCTTCCTCGTTTCTGTTTCCTCTCTGGAGGTGCAGGTGGGAGACCAGCACGATGCTTTGCCTGTAGAATGTGTCCCATCAGTAAGTTTGCTGATCAGTTGCTAGGAGAGGTAGTGGGTTGGGGTTGGGGCATGAGAGGTCTGAGTTAGTTTGGCATTTAATGTGTGTCGGTGGGAGAGGGGAGCGGAACTTAATGATTTCTTAAGTATGAAAATCAGGAAGCAAGCTTTATGGCTTACGTGAAAATAGCAGCCTAACACAAAGCAGTATTAACATAAGTGAGAACGAAGTTTAAGTGGGATGACTGTTTGCCATTCTCTGATTAGCATTCTTATTTTCTACTACTCAAACTGTGGTCTTTGGCCCATCGGGAGCTCATTAGAACTATAGAATTCTAGGCTCCATACCAACCACTGATCTAGAACCTCTTTGGTTTATTTGTTTGTTTTGGTTTTGTTTATTTGTTTGTTTGTTGAGACAGGGTTTCTCTGTGTAGCCTTAGCTGTCCTGGACTCGCTTTGTAGACTAGGCTGGCCTTGAATTCACAGTGACCTGCCTGCCTCTGCCTCCTTGAGTGCTGGGACTAAAGGCATGAACCGTCACTTAGGCTTAGAACCTGCATTTTAACAAGATCCCCAGGTGATTTGTATGAGAGATTCAGCTGCTTATAGTTACACTTCTTTGGAAGCAGTATAGTCGGTCTCTTAGCGTGCATGCTCCTAGAAAGCATCGTTCATCTGCAGAGCTGGGCAAGATGGAGGACTCGAGATGATACGAACTTTAGCAAATACCTGATCTAATGGGCTCATTTCTGGAGTCTGGAAAATTGAGGCATTATGACTCAGCTGAGGCAGGTAAAGCAAGCAAGTGGTAAAATTGACGGAGCATCTGTGTTTTCTGAATTGACCTGAGGTGGAGTGCTAGGGAACCAATGAAGGTACAGGCCAGCTTGTTCCCCTCATTCAGTTACAAATCACTGCTTTCTGTCCAACGGAAGAAGCTACTAGGGGTTAAGTACAAATGCTGTGTCACTGACCAGTAGTCAAAGAAAACTAAGTTAACAGTGCAGGAGCTAAGGATGTGTATGAGAGAGAGAGAGAGAGAGACAGACAGACAGACAGAGAGACAGAAGAGAGACAGAGGGAGACAAAGTCAGAGAGAGGGAGGGAGAGAGACAGAGTATCTTATGGTTTCTATTGTTGTGAATATTTCTGTTTCTATACACCATGTATCCTAAACACCATGACCATGGCAACTCTTATAAAGGAAAACATTTCATTGGGGCTGGCTTTCAGCTCAGAGGTTTATTCCATTGTCATTATGGCAGAAAACAGGGCAGCATGCAGGCAGACATGGAGGGGTAGTTCAGAGTTCTACATCTGGATCAGCAAGAAGAGAGAGACACTGGGCCTGGCTTGAACATCTGAAACCTCCAAGCCCACTTCCAATGACACACTTCCTCCAACAAGGTCACACCTACTCCAACAAGGTCACACCTCCTAATAGTGCCTTCCTGGTGACCAAACATTCTGATCTATGAGTCTATGGGGGCCATTCTTATTCAAACCACCACACAGAGATTAAGTTGCTTAAGGTTACCCATATTCAGGAGTAGCAGGGCTGGGACTTACTATAGATATATCTGGGGCTTATTATAGATATGTTTGTCTGTCTCTGATAATAATTCCATTGCATGACCTGAAGACCTGTTAATCCTTTATGTATATTCTACTTCAATATTTAGAAAATAACTCAGAGATGCCGGTTCCCTTTTGCAGATATATTTTGCACACACAGCCCTGAAGTGGATAGAGCGAGCGAATATGGATGGCTCCCAGCGAGAAAGACTTATCACGGAAGGAGTGGATACACCAGAAGGGCTTGCTGTGGACTGGATAGGCCGGAGAGTCTACTGGACAGACAGTGGGTATGTTTCTTGCTTTGGTTTTACGTCAGGGGAGATGGGGATGAGGAAATAGGTGATGCTCCTGGTTTTTCCTTCTGATTTGAACATAGAAAAATATGGCTGGCCACTTGGTTGAGGATGAGAGAAGGCTCCATTGCTGTCCATACTCCGCTCCCTTCCTCACTACCAAACAAGACAGGGTCCACAGGGATGGGAAGATTTCAAGGCCAAGACACATGCTCTTGCAGTTCAGATCATTGTCACCAGTGCTTCCTGAAACCTGACTGAGCGCCATTGGGAAGCATTTGCTGTGCATAAGGCTCTCACCTAGGTAGCTTCCAGAAGACACAATAGAAAAGGAGCCGGGAGCTATCTTTGTGGATAGCTCTAAGTTTAGCTGAGAAGAATAGTCATATTTCCCCATTTAAAAAAAAAATGAGTATAAATGCTTGGTGCGAATGAGGTAATGAAAGTATCAGGCCATGCATAAACAGCTGCCAAATGAAAGAAAGGTACAAACTGCCGAAGAGACCAGCAGGCCCAACCCTTTCACCTCATCGGTGGAAAGCGTGCCATGATGACAACGGAATAAACCTCTGAGCTGTAAGCCAGCCCCACTGAAATGCTTTTCTTTATAAGGGTCACCATGGTCATGGTGTATAGAATACACAGGGTATTTCCTGGTGGAGGACGTCAGACTCAGAGAGGCTGAAGGTGTTTCTGGGTTGTTTACACAGCATGTGAGTGGCAAGTCTTGCACTAAAATTCTTGCGCTGGTTCCTGCTAAACAGGCTTGAAGGAGAGTGGACGCCTCCTTGGAGATGAGAAGATGTTTTCTGAGGTTGGGTAGGGGAGGCTCCTTTCCACTGTGGGAGACAAAAGAAGCAGAGCTGGGCTGTTTCTATCCTCGAGGCTCCCTCTGTCCCTGTGGCCTGTGGCCTGTGGCCTGTGGCCTGTGTGAACCTGAGAGCAGACAGGGCTGGATAAGAGAGGGACAGAGGAGGAAAGGGACTGCCTCCTGCGTGGAGCTAAAGAGAGCCCACTCCCTTGCTTCTGGGAGAGAAGCATGAACCAGATGACATGAGAGATGTCTCGTGCTCTAGAGTATTTCTTCCAAGTAACTGATGGGCACGGAGTGAACGCTGGCCATTCTGAGCATCTGGAACCTATACAGCCATGTAAAAGGAAAAGAAGATTGAGGTTTCACATCTGGGAAGACAGCAGTTACAACTCAGAGAGCGGAGTCCCAGGGACCAGCCTTGTGTGCTCAGGCTCAGCTATTGTGTGTACAGAAAGTCTCTGGATATAGGACACAAACAGGCTCTTCATAGAGAGCCAGATGTGCAATACAGTGTGAGGTCACTGATGAAATGCTATCTCTGTGCCCAGGTGGAGCATGGCCTTTCACCCAGTTGCCTACTTAGCCTTTGCCTTCCTTCTTGTATCTATTAAATAATTGTAGTATGTCAGATACTGTGCTGAGGGGGTTCCATCCAGGACACTATTAAGTCCCAAATAGTTATGCTTTCAAATCTCTAAAGATCAAGAGGATTTATAATCAAAGTGCTAAAACAGCTTTCCCAGGGTTAAGCAGTGAACTCAAGTTTAGCCATTTCTGGATTCCCTACATCATCACAGAAATGAGCTGAGCTTGGGGTGCTTCTTGAGATAGGACCTGTGAAGGCTTGGGTTCAAACCCCAGTACCACAGAATCTTCACTCAGCATCAGAATGGGTGAGACCCAGAGTCACACAACAGATTTAAAACGGCTCCTGCCAAAACAGCTATAACCATCGTAATAACAACCTTCTTCGTGTGGAGCCAACTTAAAAGGATGTTCTCCGTGTCAGCTGGGGGGGGGGGTAATAACAGAGCTAGTATGTAGTTGTTTCCAGGAGCGTAAACGGTTCTCAGCACTGAGATGTCAACAGCTCTCTGCTTCTCTGAGATGACGCTGTTCTCACTTCCCCGCATTCAGGAAGCACCTCTAATTTTACCAGTGCATGATTAGTACCCACTGCCCAGGCAGTGCCTTCAGGAGGTAGATGGGCAGGGCACAGCTGGAGCCCACAGAACCAGACCTAAGACTCCCCAGCCCATTGGCTTCAGCAAGAACAAACCCTTCTTAAGCTCTCTTCCCTCTAAAGACAGCTGCTTAAACAAAACCTTTAATTTGTTTGAAAATGAGGGGTTTGTACTTAAAAAAAAAAAAAAAAAACAACCTTGATATCAGCTAGAAATTTGATTTAAAGAACTGAGACTTTAATCCTAGGTATTAGATTTCATGGTAACTCTAAGTCAATGAAGAACCAAAGGGGATAACTTTATTGGTTGAGAAAAAGACATTCATATGAGCATGACACACTGATAATTCTGTGCAATTATTAATATTAAGGAATCCTGACTCCTAAAGTTAGTTGAACCATAAAGGTAAAGATACATGTGCGTTTGTCCTTTGGGGGACTCTGTGTAGAGGAGCACAACACATACAAGTTGTCCCTGGGTCTTTGATTCCTTATCACCAGCCCTGGGGGCTCAGCCTTGCTTTTGGAGTAAACTGAGCAGCACCTTAGGGAGCTCAATTCTCTTTGCCTAACTCCTGCTCCAAGCAGTTGAAATGTATTAGTGATGTAACAGTGAGATCAGAGAGGGTGGTTTTATTACCTCTGGTCACATGCTTCAGGATCCCTGCCCTCCTACAAGAGAGGAGTAGAATGGCTACAAAGGAACTGAAACCACGGGAAGTGAAGTGATGATAAGGGCTGACAGCTCCACTCCATCTGCTCTAAAACAATGTAGAAGAAAATTGAAGCCCTACTACGTAAATCTCCCCTGCTGTCCCATGCTGGCTTGTGCCTTCTTCCCCATGACCCGTGACCCACTATTCTGGCCTCCTAGTCTCTGGCTTCCATGAGTTCCAGCAGGAGATGGAAGGTTGTGAAGAGAAAAAGACTAAATATTTGCATGTTGGCTTTGTCTCTGCCAGGCTGCTGACGGTCCCCCTTTACTTTGTCCTGTGCCTGGGATCAATATGGGGTGCTAGTAGTTAACTTTTTTTTTTGGGGGGGGGGTTGGTTATTTGGTTAGTTTTGGTTTTTCAAGATATGGTTTCTCTGTGTCTCCCTGGCTATTCTAGAGTTCACCTGTAGACCAGACTGGCCTTGAACTCAGAGATCTGCCTGCCTCTGTCTCCCAAGTGCTGGGATTAAAGGCGTGTGCCACCACTGCCTAGCTGTATTTTAAATCAATAAGTATTTGTGTGTGTGTGTGTGTGTGTGTGTGTGTGTGTGTGTGTGTAAGCTTGCTTGTGCTAACTTGATGAGTTGTGTGTGTGTGTGTGTGTGTGTGTGTGTGTGAGAGAGAGAGAAAGAGAGAGGGAGAATGAGAAAAGGAATAGTTTTATTTGAAAACAATGATGTAACACCTCCCTACCTATATATACTTTCTAGGAAATCTCTCATTGGAGGAAGTGATTTGAGTGGGAAGCACCATCACGTAATCATCAATGAGAGAATCTGGAAGCCACGGGGAATAGCTGTTCATCCACAGGCCAGGTAGATATTTATGAAAAGAAGGTACCATTAAGCTGAGCTTATGCAGCTGTTCATGTCTGAGATGCTCAGGGCCAGAATTCGTGCTAAGACTTCAGGTGGTCAGTGCAGCCAGAAGCCAAGAAAATCTGTGAATTTTGTTCAGATCTTCAGAACCAGTATGACTAACAACTTACATCTGTCCTCATCTCTTGGTTATCATTAGCCAATTACACTTAAGCCCATGAATCTACTTTCCTTAAAAATCTTATGTTGGAGGGCTAGAAAGATGGCTCAGTGGTTAAGAGCACTGACTGCTAGGTTTGGATCCTAACACCCACACAGCCACTCACAACCCTCTGTAACTCCAGTTCCAAGGGATCCAATAATCTCTCTTGCCTCCACAGGTCCTAGACATGAAATGTTATATATAGATATGCAGGCAAGCAAAACACTCATATACATAAAAATTCTAACTCCTTTATTTACAAAAAAAAAAAAAAAGATTTCAAAATCTACAGTGTTGTTTCTTGAGCAGAAAATGTAATTAGAAGTATTGACTTAGAAACTCTATTTAAGCAAGGCATCACTCCTAGAATCAACAAGCAGAAGTATAAATTACAGAAGTGGTAGATTCTAGGCTATGAACTATGAATTGGCATCACATTTTGGTTTGAAGATAGAGAATTAAGGAGAATAAAGAATTTCTTCAGAGTCATCAAAAAGCAAAGAGAAAAACAATCCTGTTTTATTTTTTATGGAAATTTTATAAAGATCTCTAGATGACGTGTTGGTAGTAATGGATAATTGATTCGGAGCCGGTCAAGTGGTCAAAACAATGAGAACCCGTCTCCAAACAAGCCAACTATATACTAAACCATATTGATATTTTTAAAAAATGTGTCTGGTTCACGGAAGTTAAAATTATCTTCATAGGCACAGTACCGTGCATAAATCCAGGAAGCAGGTAAACACACTGTTCCTTTTATTGTAATTGCATGTGAGAATGAGCTACCTGGGCAGGAGAGATGGCTTAGCAGTTAAGAACACTGGCTGCTCTTGCAGAGGACTGGGGTTCAGTTCCCAGCACCCACATGGTGGCTCACAACCGCCTGTAGCTCCAGTTCCAGGAAATCCAGCAAAGTCTTTTGACCTCCAGGGGAAAAGATGCAAATACATACACTCAGGTGCACATAAATACATAAACTTTAAATAAATAAATCTTAAAAACAAAAAGAATGAGCTACCAAATTGAAGCAAGGTTGCTGCCAATTTAATAGTGTTCATTTAAGCACAAATTTGCTTAGTAATATTCTACAATTTTAAAATCGATTCCTTTCCTATCTAATGACCTGATGCCTTTTTTTTTTTTTCTTTTTCTTCCAAGATGCTCTATACAGACCAGCAAAACTGAGGATTTCCTTTGTTTTGTTTTTTGGTTATCTAACATGCTGTGCTGCATTTTCTCCTTGTGTGTTTCTTGGTGTACCCGCTCTTTACACCTTACCGTGGTTTCTATCGGTATCTCAGTGTTGAAAGAATACAAGAATTTTCTTCATGCAAATCTGACTTGTGAGTTTTCTCGATTGAAGGAGACTGTTCTGGACGGACACAGGGATGTATCCCCGGATTGAAAGCTCTTCCCTTCAAGGTTCTGGCCGGATGCTGGTAGCCAGCTCTAACCTACTGGAGCCCAGTGGAATCACGATTGACTACATAACAGATACTTTGTATTGGTGCGACACCCAGCAGTCTGTGATTGAGATGGCCAACCTGGACGGTTCCAATCGCCGAAGGCTTGCCCAGAACGATGTAGGTGAGACTTCGGGGTGGATGATTTTTTTTTTCATCTTTATTTTAGTCATGCTATTATTTTTTAAAATTATGTGCACATATGTACATGTTTGGAAATGTGTGCATATGCGTGCAGGTAACCACAGAAGCCAGAAGAGGGCATCAGGTCCCCCGGAGCTGGAGTTCCAGGTGACTGTGAGCCTGTGGATGTGGGTCCTGGAAACCAAACACAGATTTTCTGCAAGAGCAGTACTTGCCCCTGACAGCTGGGCCATCTCTCCAGCCTCCGACTTCTTCCTCTTGACTGAGTGCTGATGAGTGTTCAATCCCCAGTGTGCTCACGCATATACACTCATTTAACCACACTAGAGAGAGAGAGATCTCGCCAAGAATTATAAAGTAGAAAGATTGCCCAAGCAGTGAATATTGAGTTAAAAAGTAGTATTGTATAATCGCTTTCCCCCCAATATTTTCCCAATTGAAAGTGAAATTTTGAATTGTTTTCCAAACTTATTTAAGAATAAAAACTTTATTTCCTCTGCTTTTTTAATCTATCATTCCACATCAGTGATACCATCACTTTCAGGCATTAACAAATGTCTGTTAATAACACGGGCAAAGATAAATCAAGGAAGTTTTCTTTCCTATTGCATTTTCAGATTCTTCATGTGAGACTGTGCCTTTTCATAAATATCTTTAAAACCGCTGATCCAGAGGCTGGAGAGAAGGCTTAGTGGCCGAGAGCACTTGCTGTTCTTCCAGAGGACCTGAGTTTAGTTCCCAGCAGCCATCCTGAGCCGCTCACAGACATCTCTGACTTCAGCTCCAAGGGTTTTGACACCCTCCTCTGGCCTCTGCAGATACACACATGTATTCACACACAGATATGAGTAACACACACAGAGAAACACACATGTGTGCACACACCGTAGCCTATAAAAGAGAAGTGCAAACACACTGGGAAATTCCTTTGGAAACAGGGAGTCTACAAAGGGCCCTTTGGAATTTGGCCATGTGCTAAGCAGAACAGCTAGGATAAAGTGACTGAGCCTAATTTTGAATTTACTACGGAAACAGTTAATGTTCTTGAGCAAGAGATCTATATGACATGAGTGGCGTTTTGGCGTAACCACTTAGATCACGGTGCAGCAGTCAGATTGAAGTCTAGAGAGAAAGAAATTGACGAGCAAGCTACAGTGGTTGTCCAGAAGGCCTATGAAGGCCCAAACATTGTTATTAAAAAGCGAAATAGAAGATCAGGGTATTAAAACTTGTTATGAATGGAAAGTAGAAAGGATCTGATGACAGGATGGTGTAAAGAAAAATGAGCACCTGGAGTATTAGAGGTGTTTTAGGGATTTAGACACTGGGAAGATGAAAAATTAATCTCATTTAGGAGGGAACTAATAAAATAGTTACCTTGCCAAATCTCTTTAGAGACATAACTTTTTAGAAATATACTAGCAAGAAAAATACTCAAATTGTATATATTTCTAAGATTCTTTAAAAGAACTATATTCTTCTAAACAATGGTAAGCTTGCGTACATAGCTGGACCTTGTCTATCCATGCATTTGGCAGACATTCATTGATTTCTCTCGAGGACTGGAAATGTGATGGGGCTAAAATAAATGCACTTTCTGTAATGCATGGGGTCTGGTGGAGGAGTTATATTCTGTTTTGTACGGGCCACCCAAGTAAATAAAACTATACCTTCATTACAAGAAGTGGGTAGATATATATGAACATTCCTTTTTTTTTTTTTTCTTTGTATTAACATTCCTAACCAGAAGAAAACATCTCATTCTGGATCCAAAACACAGAGGATATAATATTTTATTTTATTTATTTTTGGGACAAGGTCTCATGTATCCCAGGCTGGACTTGAACTTTTCTTTGGGTTTGTTTGAGGTTTTGTTGTTATTGTTTTGTGAGTGAGTATGTGTGTGTGTGTGTGTGTGTGTGTGTGTGTGTGTCTTCTTGAAACAGTGTTTCAGGCTGTCCCAGTTTCTTTTTGTCAACCATGCTGGCCTCAAACTCACAGAGATCTGCCTGCCTCTGCCCCCCGAGTACTGAGATTAAAGGCACATGCCACCACTGCCTGTTGAACTTTAAGTATCATAGAGGATGACGGTGAACTTCTGGTTCTCCTGCCTTCACCTCCAGAGTGCTGAGATGAAAGGCCTATTCCCATATCCAAGTCATTCGGTACTGGAGATAAAATGGAGCTTTGTGTGCCATAAGCGAGCACTGTGGGTAGACCCGTAGCCCTTTTGCAATATGTATTATATATAAATTCCAAGTGCTACCACAATCAGAATGGCACAGCTTTTTCCTGAAGAGCAACGTTACATAATGTTAGGTTTAACTGTTTTGTCATTCCTCCTCTAGAGCGCCATCTACTGCAACACACGTGGTGTGTTCTCAACTGACAGTTCAGGGATTTCTTTCTTTTTTGTGTATGGCTGGTTTGCCTGCGTGTATGCCTGGTGCTATGGAGGGCCAGCAGAGGGCATTGTATCCCTTGGAACAAGAATGACAGTTGTGAGACACCATGCTGGTGTTGGGACTCTGATCTTGGTCCTCTGGAAGAGCAGTCTGTGCTCTTAAAGCACTGAGCCATCTTTCCAGTCCAACAGTTCAGGATTTTTAGTGAAAAGGTTGAATGAAATCATCTTTAATCACAGTACAATTAGTTATGGCTCTTTGCCTTAAGATAAAGAAAGATTGTGTCTAATGTTTTTAATGAAACAGCCTCATTAATTATTTCGTTTGGTTTTTTTTTTTGTTTTGTTTTTTGTTTTTTGTTTTCTAGACAGGATTTCTCTGTGTAGCCTTGGCTGTCCTGGACTTACTTTGCAGACCAGGCTGGCCTCGAACTCACAGAGATTTCCCTGCCCCTGGCTCCCTGAGTGCTGGGAATTAAAGGCCTGCACCACCAATGCCAGCTCGTCCTAGTTGATTCTAACACATGCTTCAAGTGAACAAACCTTGAGGGCATTATGCTAAGTAAATTAAGAAGACAAATGCTGGACACCTGGTAATCCAGAGCAGGCAGCCTCATGTAAACACAGGACGGAATAGTATTTCTCAGAGGGTAGGGGGAAGTTGGCATAGAGCTTCAGATTTTCAAAAGTGCAAAATTCTAGAGCAGTGTGTGCAGTATACTTAAAGCTGCTCAACTGTACAGGGAGACAAAGATAGTAAATTTTGTGGTATGTGCTTTCTAACCAGAATTTAAAAAAAACAACGGTCAGGTAAAAGGAATTTCCGGGATGCATTTATAGTTTTACTCTGGGACAGAGGACTAGAGACCGAGAGGAATGCAGAACATCCTCGCCGACAGTGGTGAGAAGACTCCCCTTGACCAGTGGCCATGACAACTCTTTTGAGCTTTCCACCACACGGGGGCGACATTCATTTCACGGCTCCAAACTCCTCCAACCTGGTGAAGAATGTGAGGGGGTCACGATGAACGCTTCCAAACGCAGCACCCGTCACGCTGGTGTCTAACTGCCTGAGACACTGTGTCACAGAGGTGGTTTTGGTTGAGGAGGGCTCAGAAGGCAGCCCACTGGATGGTCAGTCAACAGGAGCCGTGGAAACAGAGGCAGCAGATAATCCGTGTTCAGAAAACTCCCTTCTGCAGGGCAGGAAGGAATCAGGCTAAAAGGATAAGGGAAGGAGGATTGGTGAAGAAGGTGCTGCGCTAGTTGGCTGAGCTCGGTGAGGAGATGGGGTCATTCTTGGCAGCGTAGGCCTGGGAGAAGTAAGGAGGAATGACATCAGAAGCACGGTCCTGGACTAGAGGATGAGGAGAGGGAGCAGACAGGAAAGGCTAAGTTAGGAATACAGTGATAGAGATGGGGGGTCTCCAAAAACTCTTGTTTAGTCACCGAAATTAAGGGGGGAAACATCTTTGTAATTAATTACCCGTGACTTCATTCTGCTGCTTATGACAAAGAACCCAGAGCAAGGAGCAGCAGGAAACACGCTCAGGTCAGTCTGTGGCAGATGAGCACAGAACACCCCCCACCTTGGCATCCTTCTCGGTGCTCTCAAAACCGGCGTAGGTCAACAGCCACCCGTGGCCTAATGTTCTAAGGCTTGTCCTCTTATCAGTGCCCCCCTGGGAAGAGAACCTGTCTGTACTGAATGACCTTTCAATTGCTTCCAGGTCACCCATTTGCTGTGGCCGTGTTTGAGGATCACGTGTGGTTCTCGGATTGGGCTAGCCCATCGGTAATAAGGGTGAACAAGAGGACTGGCCAAAATAGGGTACGTCTCCGAGGCAGCATGCTGAAGCCCTCGTCACTGGTTGTGGTCCATCCATTGGCAAAACCAGGTACACTGGAGAAGTCCCGCACTGCCCTGGAGGCTGCGGCTGTGTTAACCAATGGTAGCAGCAGTGCGGGGTGGAGGGGACTTCCTGATTTTTTTTTTTCACCTGTCTGCATAAATGTTAAGATTTTTCCTAAGATCTGGATATTGTTTGGATCAAAACTCGAACAAGCTTGGCAGTTTGTTAATTTGTATTCTATCCCTAATAGGGTGGCTTTAATAATCTGGGCTTTATCTCACCCGCTACAGGCCTCCCTCTCTCTCCCTTTTACTTACTTGCTACCTTTCAAAGACTCTTGGGTTACGGAAAATAAGGATAAGCAATTTAGATGATTTTCATAGTGAATAGAGAGAGAAAGAGAGATAGAGGCAGAAGGGAGGGAGAGATTAGCACAAAGTGTAAAGAGCCCAATAGACAAAGTCCCATTTTGGAATTTTTTTTTAACTTTTATTAATTACACTTTATTCATTTTGTATCCCCCCATAAGCCCCTCCCTCTCCTCCCCTCCCAGTCCCACCTTCCCCCCCTTTCTGCATGCATGCCCCTCCCCAAGTCCACTGATAGGGGAGGTCCTCCTCTCCTTCTTTCTGATCTTAGTCTATCAATTCTCATCAGAAGTGGCTGCATTGTCAGGGTTCTAGGTAATAGTAAGAGCTGGAGAGGACAGGAACTCCACAAGGAGAGCAACAGAACAAGATAATTTGAACACAGGGAACTTCCCAGAGACTCATACTCCATTTTGGAATTCTTAGCACCGAATAGACTTATTTGATATGTCAACAGTTATTGATCCAGGCAACTTAGATTTTTTTCTTGCAGAGGAACTTGTACCTGCCCTTGGGCTCCCTTGGAGGCTCACTACCCCCAAAGCCTCGTAGTGCACAGCAGCCAGGAGCAAGCCAAGGAAGAGCCACTCAGCTCCCTCTGAGCAGATCTCTATGAGTCTGAGTAGAGTGAGGGTCAGGAGAGAGGAGTCTCGCAGACTAAGGAGTCTTGTAAACTGAACCACCGGCTGTGCTCAGCACACATACACACAAGATAACAACGTTCTGAGCTGTCTTACTATCATGGCCTCTTACTATCATGGCCTCCTGGTAGGAACAACCGAGAGAGAGTTCTAGACAGACATTCCATTTAGAGTGGCTGAGCTCTCACCCAAAGATGTCTTTGCTTTGCACCATTGGCATCCTGGGCATCTCCAGACCCACCTGTGCATTCTCTCTACCCTCTGCTAGGTGCAAACCCCTGCTTACACAGGAACGGAGGCTGTGAGCACATCTGCCGAGAGAGCTTCGGAACTGCTCAGTGTCTGTGTCATGAAGGTTTTGTGAAAGCCCAGAATGGGAAAACGTGTCGAAAGGCTCATCAGACACTGGCAGGTAATAGACCATACTGTGCTGCTGACTTATCTCACCCGAGCTCCGAGGAGCGGGGCATCCGTGCTTGGTGGGTGTGATGTTTTGTATTGTTAAGTGTTTCTATGTCTTCAGGAATGCTGCGTGTGTTTGGACTTCTACGCCCTTTCCCCAAGAGAGTTTTTCAGTCCCTTATTACAGGCTAAATTAAATTGACTTCTAATTGTAAAAGCTTTAAGCTTCATAGTCTCCCTGCCATTGAAGTGGGGTGTCCCAGGACTTAGAACTGAATGTCCACATTCACATGCATGACAATATGTAAAGACATTTTCTTTAGAAGTGTTCTGTTCTTAATTTTAGGGGTTGTGAAAGGCAATCTCCTTCCGACACTACAGGTCGTACATAATAGGAAAACTTGAGTTCTTTATAGAAATAATGTTACTGTCTCCAACAAGTGCAGGAAATGACACCAAGAAACTCATGACCCATTTCTTCACAAGCTATAGCTAAGAGAATGGGAGAGTAAGCCACGCATGATGGACGGCCTCTCTGCCTTCAGTACATGCCCAAACTAGGCAGACCTGGAGTCAACTTATGGTGTCTTCCTACCAAAAATATGCCAAAGATAATTTATATTTTAAGCCTTTTTTTTAAGTGCATAATTATTTAGGAGGCATGTTATAAATATAAGCAAAGTGACAGGTTGATAACAGTGAATGGGTTGCAGTATCCATGGAATGGAGTTGGATATTGAGTTTTCAGACATGTTTTTTTTTTTCTATTAATTTGTTGCCTTAGGATAATAGTTTCATACTTCTTAGACTCAGAACTTCTTTAGGCTCTTAAAAGACTCATTAAGATCCCCTAAGGGTTTTTATATCTATCAGTTCTTAGGATATTGAAATTTTTAAATCTTAATTCAAAATGACATTAATAACAAACCTAATATTAGCATAACACGTTTTATAATCACTAAATATATTTTTTCCAAAGCAAAAAATATATAGTAAGAGGAGAGACATTGCTTTACACTTCTGTCTTTAAGCCTAGCAAAACAGACAGCAGCTGAAGTATCACATCCACTTCTGTGCTGTGAAGATGCGGTCTTTCAGAGGCACAAAGTTGAGGGGGGAGGATGTCATTTAACAACCCACTGAAGCCTGTGCTGTTTAACCAGCCTTTGGGGGAATATTGTTCTTTGGCTACAGTCAGGACTGCGCAGGCCCTAGTTTCTTAGGGCTTACCTGCAATGAGGAGTCTGACATGGGAAACAGATGCTGCCAGCTGTTTCTCTTGGAAGTGGCAGGTTCACCCCATTCATTTCTGAGGAGAGCCTTGCCAGACACCCAGCTCTACAGCCAGCACAGTTTGCCTGTCCGTCATTCTTTCAGATCAATCACGCTGACCAGAGCAAGGGGGATTTCAGCCCACAGCTCAAACGTCACTTGCCTGCTTCTCTCCTAGGGAGCTATCATGACTTCAGTAGGAACCGGAAGCCTTTCATGCACGTTACTTGCTTTATTAGATAGAGTAGTAAAATTCCAGAGCCAATGGCCAAGAGATCTAAAAAGTAGCAATGCTTGCCGTATCATCATGGACTCCCTGTAATGTGTGTTTTAATTTACTGTGAGAGTGACCAGTGTGGGGGCTCAGGTCCCAGTGAACCTTGGCATCATTCCCTTTGCACCGCAATCTTCCCCGCCACTGCCTTGCTGTATCAATATGCGAACATGCTGGGAAGAGGCCAGCAGCAGCTTTCCACTGGGATGCAAGGTGCCTTGGGGCTGAAGGGTCTGTGCGGTGGGACCCAGGGGTCTGTGTAGCACAACTGAGCAGAGTGCTGCCTTTGGGAACCCACCTCCTGCCCAGGAGCAGTGAGCTGCATGTTACTATAGGCTTTTTAATTCATGTCAACTTTAAAGACACGGTTAAATTAGGCTATTGTAAATACGAAAGCAGAACGAAGGAAGGTGCTAGTGTAAAAGACAGGTTGGGGAGAGGGGGCCCCTAAAACATCTCGTTATTGTGGTCTGTGATTCTGAGCTGATTATATCCAGAGAGAATGTCGTTCTTTATCTAAAAGAACCCTATTTTCCTCCCCAGCTGGCTCCACCCAGCTCCGCCCATTTCCCTCAGTCTTCTTACTAACTTGAGTCTGAGTTCATATCCATCAGAAGAAAATGAAGTCAAGCATTCATTGAAATGGAAAGGGGTGGCTAATTGAGTCTTTTGTTCCACAGGTGACAACGCTGATCTAGGTAAAGAGGTCAACTTCACTAAGGAGGAAGTAACAGAACACAACAGCACAGAGCCCCAACACACGCTAGTGGCTGAAATCATGGTATCAGGTATGTAGTGTGAGTTCTGACAGCTTCCTATCCTCTCCCTGGCATAATACTGGCTAAGTGTACTGCAGCCCACACCTACTATGGTGGGTTCTTGCTCTGTCTAGCTGTTGTGAAAAGCTGATAGCAATGGATGAACGATATTAATTGGTTACTTTAGTTACTGCAGAAACTCCATAAACAGAAAATGTTAGAATTCTTTGTCTGTGTTGCACATTATCAGCAGAACGTCAAGTGATTTGTTTGATAAGTAACAACTTTAGGGAACCTTGAGTCTGTTATGTTCTGTGTTCACTCATAAGGCAGGGAGTTTTCAGATGAGCCCTAGAGCTGCTGCAAACCCACCCTGTTCCCTCAGCTCACTGCCCTTCACTCAGTGTCGCTCGCTTTGACTCTGAAACATTTAATTCATATACATATAACTTATATATCATATATTTTATATTTTATCCATATTATATATTTTATATATCCACTGTATGTATTAAGAAAAAGTCTCTCACTTGAGACCACAGCTTGCTTCAGGGAATCCCATCTCCATTTTCCAAGTACTTAAATTAAAGGTAGGCCCCCACATCCACCTGCCATTTACCTGAGTGCTGGGGGTCCTAACTCTATCCACTGAGCCATCTCCTCAGGCCCCAGAGTAACATTTTGTATTAACATAATGTCTGTGGCTTTGAAAATACTTGAAAACTCCATGAGAGGACAATTCTGGAAGTCTTTCTCTGGCTTCTGTAGTCTGAAGCCCAGACCTTCTACTGCGTATCTGTTGATTTCCATCGTGCAAAGCCGACTCAAGGTTTGCAAAAGTCCTGAGTCATATTCTAAGCAGGATAATTGTACAGTGGTTTCCAATGTTTACTGTAACTGGATACTGCTCACCCCTGCTCTCAGCAGCCTTATGATTTGGGAACTAAGTGTTTGAACGTACCCATCTTGAGTTTTGAGACAAAGGGGGTGACTAAGCAAGCATGAAAGGCATGTGTCCACCCAAGAGAAGTCTTGGTTGAGTAGCTAAGCATATGAAACACAAAACCACAATTACTTCAGGGCAGTGGTGATGCTCGCCTGTAATCCCAGCACTCATGGAGGCAGAGGCAGGTGGATCTCTGTGAGTTCGAGGCCAGCCTGGTCTACAGAGTGAGTTCTAGGACAGCCAAGGCTACACAGTAAAACCCTGTCTTGAAAAATCAACAAAGCAGAACAAGACAAAACGACCCCCAAACACAATGACCCCAGTGCTGCAGTCACATGGAACTCGAATCCAGCTTAGGAGGCGTAACCTTTGATTTACAGACAAGCTCAGAAGGCTTCTCTCATTTCTCCCGTGAACTAACGTATGTGCGAGCAGACAGATAATGATGCACTTAGACAGCATAGAGACCGCTGTGGTATGTCAGATATTCCAAGTCAGAAAAGAAGGCTGTGGGTGGCATTTGTGGAATGGTGATACGCTCACATAGTTAAAGCAGAAAAGCAAGCAAGAAAGAAAAACTTGTCTGTGGCTTGACATGCAGCTCTGTCCCCCGGGGCATTTGCATTTCAATGGAGTATGAAATGAAATGATCCCTTTACAGCGTCTGACTTGTATGGTTCGTGACTGTGCAGAAGTGCCAGGAGGCTTACAAGTCAGTGCATAAATCTTGATGATAAGCAGGCACTGTGACATATATCCTATTAGATATGAAACACGATATTAGTAAATTGATAATAAATCTCTGTGTGAGTCAGTCTCCTTGTCGTAAACAGAGATGCTTGCCACATACAAGTGTGTGTGTTTCCAGGACAAGAAGAGATGTGTGTCACAATGGTCGGGAATTTTTGAGTAAAATCCTTTTGAAATTGGAGTCTATTGGAAGCACTATCCGTAGTTCAAATGTATAGATGCTTGGAAATACCTAGAAACAAGCCCACACAGAGCTCTCCGGACACCAAAAGGTTCTTTAAGACTGAGGTTTACCTCAGGATGTGAGTGCCAGAGGCAGGAGGCTCTCATGTAAGGGTCAGCCTTGGCTACTTACTACCAAGTAAGTAGTCTTGTCAAAAAGCCAGAGCAGCAGCCAAACCTCAACCGACAAACCGAAGCAAAGCAAAACTAGCATACACACACACACACACACACACACACACACACACACACACCAAATGCAACTGAAGGTTGTGGGAGGCACACCGAGACAGCGAGTTGACTCTTCTAAGTCTAGTGAAACAAACACTGTGGACAGACCTAAGCAGTTCTTGCTGTGTGGGGGCTACCCCATACACAGCTTCAGGAAGGAGACACTGGGTATTCTCTCCAGCACATGGAGGGCCACTTTCTCCTCTGGAGGCTGGAAATAGTTGCACGCGGTTCTCACTGTTTGCAGATCAAGACGACTGCGACCCCGGGGGATGTGGCAGGCATGCTCGCTGTCTTTCCGAGGGGGAAGCCGCTGGGTGCCAGTGTCTGGAAGGATTTGCTGGGGATGGAAACCTGTGTTCTGGTAAGAGCAAAGGCCAAATGCACAAATTTGAAAAGTGGTGAACCAGAAGCATTCTTTTTACCTTTTGTAACCAAAAATCTCCACAAGGATTTTAGCAGTCAGTAGGTTTAAATAGACTATTTGATGTTAGGGGAAAAAAAGAATTGTAGGCACAGGGAACGAGACATAATAAGCATATTTACATATAGTATTACCTTGAATTATACAGACATTATTTGCATAATTAAAATTATGCAAAGAGTGAAGTTGACAGTAAGAGAGGCATGAATTTGAGCTCAAGTGAAACTTAACGAATTCCCAAAAATAGACATTTTTCTCCGAGAAACCTAGTATATATGTTTTAGTGAAACAAATAAATTATGATGGGTAGATTTCTATATTATATTGATAGCTTCGAGTTGTAAATTAATGATGCCTTGGAAAATGCCAGTCCTTGTCATCTGAAACCCTGGCAGAAAGCAATTTACTTACACGTACTTAGCTGTTTGGACAGGTGAGAACTTCATAAAAATTAATTGAGGAATGAACGTCAAACCCAAGATGAAGGCTTTGCATTTTATTTACTAACAGTACCTGTTAGCAGCCTAGTGACTGACCGAACAGAGGCTTGGTCTTTCTTACTATTCCTGTTATTTATTCTCAGCATTGCCTGAAACAGCGGGTCTCAACCTTTCTAACGTTATAGCCCGTTAATAAAGTTCCTCACGTGGTGGTGACCCCCCCAACTATAAAATTATTTGTTTGCTACTTCGTAGCTGTGATTTCGCTACTGTTATGAATCGTAATGTAAGTACCGGATACACAGGACATAGGACGGGAGCCCTGTGTGGGTCGAGACCCCCAGGTTGAGAAGCCTTCTTCACGCATCCATCCTTTCCACCACAGACATAGATGAATGTGAACTGGGTAGCTCCAGCTGTCCCCGCACCTCATCCGAGTGCATCAACACTGAAGGTGGCTACGTCTGCAGGTGCTCAGAAGGCTACGAAGGAGACGGGATCCACTGTCTTGGTGAGAGAGCCCAAGAGCCAAGGGACAGGGGAGAGGGAGGAGGCAAGCTAAAGAGAGTCATCTTCATCTTGGTTGCTGAGGGCCAAGAGAAGGCAGGGTACAATTGGAGTGAAACACATGTCAAGAATAAGAGATGTTGTGTGGCCAGTGCGGACGGAGGCAGTTTACGTCTTGGTAAACAATCTCTTGGCTATAACTGCACAAGCAAAGCACAAGCTAAGCTTCCCTGGGGCTTGGGGGGATGGAGGCTCGTCAGCGTTCGCTGTTGTAAGCCATCAGTGGGCCGCTGGTCAGCACATCCTTGTCACTGGCTTTAGCAAGTGGACTGCGGTGGACTGCGGAGCTGCCTCGGGCGGGTTTCGAGTCCCCGGGTGGCTCCGAGGCGGACGTAGGGTGTTTCTTGACAGTTGAGTGCATGAGAATTCCCAGCACTGCTGTTTCTCTGCGAGCACGGGATGATTGAAAGCCTTTTCATTACCACCCTCCCGTGCCAAGGGCTGGGTGGGGCTGTGGGCCGGGAGCTCACTCTGTGGATGTCTTCTGCCGCCCCAGGTATCAGACGCCCGGTCTCACCGCGCAAGCGGAGGCCTGCCCTAGGCCACCCTCGCTAGGCGCTTAGCTGCTTTCCCAGGGCTTCCCTGCTCCTCGCCTATGCTGTTCTTTTCCTTCTTCCGAAAATACAGTGAAGGGCAGATGCCCTGATAACCTCAAAGGACGGTGTTGTCTCTCCACACGTGAAGGTCATGACTGTCCATTTGTGGATCTGGTTGGTTTAAGCCAGACTTTATCAGATTAGGTCTGTGTCTTCCACAGACATCCGAACACACACCTTTAAGCACATATTTGGCAGTCAGTTAAGGAAATGTCACTGCAGTAATTAAGCAGACTCACAGATATTTTGGGCAAACAGACTTCATATTTCATTTCTTTTGAAGAGAAAAGAAGGTATGTTTTCTCAGAGACTTAAACTCTTTAGACCCTGGGTTACCACTCTCACTAAGCCGAAGAGTGTCATGGCCCTACCCTGCCTGCTATGAGGTCCCCATTACTGTAGAAGCCACGGGCCTGCTTGTGTTTCCCCCGTTATACCTGAGAATGTGTCTTTCTCTGACCCTGCACTGGGACGTGTGTGTGTGTGTGTGTGTGTGTGTGTGTGTGTGTGTGTAGTATGTGTATTTGAGGATATATGCTAAATTAGGGTTACAGTTGCTGTGATGAAACACTTTGACCACAGCAACTTGGAGAGCAAAGTGTCTATCTCAGTTGAAACTTCCAGGTAAGTTCATCACTGAGAAGAGTCAGTGCTGGAACTTAAACAGGGCAGAAACCTGGAGGCGGGAGCTGACGCAAAGGCCACGGAGGGGTGCTGCTTGTTGGCTTGCTTCCCATGGCTTGCTCATGCTCAGCCTGATTTCATATAGAACCCCAGGACTACCAGCCCAGGGGTGGCACCACCCACCTCGGGTTTGTCCCCGCCTCCATAAATAACTAATTAAGAAAATGCCCTCCAGGCTTTCCTACAGCCCAATCTTATGAAGGCATTTTCTCCCTTGTGGTTCTCCCCTCCCATCAGGTGACTCTAGCCTGTGTCAAGTTGACAGTAGGTGATTGGCTTCAAGCCATGCCTGACACATACATTCTAGAGAAAAGCATTCTGGGGCTGTCCTAGGGAGAAGGTGAGGCTCTGGTATTTGGGAGTGGCCTGGAAGAGATAAGAGCTGCGCTGTGCATTTATATAGTTCATGCTTATGTTTAGGAAAGGGTTGTATTTGATATGCTTCCTCCTCCTGTTCCTCCTGCTCTTCCTCCTCCTCCTCTTCTTTTGGGTTTTTCTCTGCAGAGCCTTGGTTGTCCTGGAACTCACTCTGTAGATGAGGCTGGCCTCTAACTCATAGAGATCTGCCTATCTCTGCTTCCCTAGTGCTGGGACTAAAGGCACGCACCACCATGTCCGGCTAGGTATACCATTTATGTCAGTGGGTAAACATCTAGTGGCAGAAGTGGAGTCTGAGTTTTAGGATATGAAATACTGTTTGCTAGAGGTGCTTTACTGATCTCTGGCCTAGAGAAGTCTTTCCTTCCAAGCGGAGAGAAATCCTGCCAGGAGCCTAGGCTGCCCGAATAGGTGTGCGGCCATGAACAAGGTGATCTTAATTTCTAGCATTCATGACAGGAACCCCCTAACATGCATGGGGCCCTGAACAGGAAGCCCCACACAGGTGAAGAAACCCCTTCTAGAAAGCTGGACTCCATAACCCTGTTCCCTTTTCTATGCTTTCTTGTCTCCTCTCACTTTCTACTGGGACAGATATTGATGAGTGCCAGCAGGGGGCGCACAGCTGCGGGGAGAATGCCAACTGCACCAACACGGAGGGCGGCTACAGCTGCACCTGCTTAGGCCTCCCGTCCGCCCCTGGACTGACTTGCCCTGGTAAGTAGATAGGTGGTCAAGGTCAGCCGGGAGGAACTTGGTTGAGGAAATCTTGTGCTCCATTTGTTTGCCTGGGGGAACTGTAGAAATCATTGTTTAATCAGGCTGAAGAGCTGGATTTCATCACTAATCTGGGCTGCAGAACTTGAGGCGATCCTGGCTTTGTTCATTTCACAGCATCTGTAATAAACCTATCATTGTCATCATCATCATTGTTACTCACAGTTCAGTACAGGTGTTTCTCCTTAACTGTAACTGCGTTCCCATCGGTTGGTTATTTTCAGGGACTGTGGGAAAACTTGGCCGGGCTCAGCAGGTAAAGACCGTATCTGGGCTTGTAATAGCATATTTCTTTTCTTTTGGTACACACAAATGTTAAAACTAGCTGGGCACGGTGGCACATGTCTGTAACCCCAGTGCTTGGCAGGCAGAGACAGGTGGATCCCTGAGTTTGAGATCAGCCCGGTCTTCAGAGTGAGTTCTAGAACAGCCAAGGCTACACAGAGAATCCCTGTCTCGAAAAAAACCAAAAACCAAAACAAAACTACAGCAAAAATAAATAAATGAAGAAAATATTAAGGTCTTCAGAGCTAATCAGTATAAAACTTTACATCTGCTTAAATTTTGATGGTGAATGTTAAAATCTGGTATGTATTTTATGACACAACACACCTCAGTATGGACTGCAGGCCATGCGCCATTAACGCCCAGCACAGGTAGGGGCAACAGGGAACCTCTCAGGAGTGTGGGGCAGTGATGGGAAAAGAGTCACTGTCAAGGATTTTTGGTTTTGTTGTTGATGATGATGATTCTTCAAAACAGGCTTTCTCTGTGTAGCCCTGGCAGTCCTGAAAATTGCTCTTAGACCAGGCTGGCCTTGAACTTAGAAATCTGCCAGCCTCTACCTCCTGAAAGCTGGGATTAATGGTGTGTGCCACCATGCCCGGATTACTTTTAAGGATTTTTAAATTACTTTTTCAAAGTTGGCATGTATTGATGTGAATTAGCAGCCCAGCCAGCTTTTTGTTTCTCTTAAAACAGCCACCAGTGCTGACTTTTGCTTTGTCAACCATACAGTCAGCACCCCACAAAAGGCCCTGGCAGCCAGAACAGGGGCCCTTGTCCTCTCAGCTCAGGGAAGTTCTCGTTTGCCTGGTCTCTGTGTTTTATAGTGAATTGTTTGTTTGTTTTCAGATAGTTTTCTGTGCTTAAAAATAGGTATGGTGGCTGGTGCCTGCAATCCCAGCAGTTGGGAGACTGAGGCAGGGGGATTGCCATGAGTTTGAAAAACTTCTCTTGGTCAGTTGCAAGCCCCCAATGCCTTCCTTTTTGAGGAACAGGAAACTATTCAAAACCAGGAGGCTTTGCACCTTGACTTTCCTCCATTGTTGTAAAATTTTCTTCCCATCAGCAGCTATGATCTTACGTCTGATGGAGTCCCCTAAAAGTTAAATCAGTTTTAGGAGAAAGCATTTTCTGGGAGAATGCTTGTGACTCTCTAGATTTGGGGGGAGGGGAGCAATGTGCTCTGTGTTGCTGGATGGGTTGTGAGCCATACAAAGACCCCAACTGTTCATTTCATATTTAGGATTGTCCATTCTTTCTTTGCATCCACTATGCTTTAGATCTGATAATCCAAGAGAAAGAAGGCTTTAGCTTTTGGTGGCTGACACAAGGCCCCATTAGGGAGGTGAAACTTAATAGTCCTAGTACTTCTCCTGTCGCCAAAAAGACCACATCACAAGTTGTTCATAGGAACTTATAGCAAAAGCAATGTCTTTGACTATTCCAGGCTCTTCCTTACCCTCCATCCTCGGGGAAGATGGCCGCCATTTGGACAGAAACAGTTACCCAGGATGCCCAGAGTCACATGATGGATACTGCCTCCATGGTGGTGTCTGCATGTATGTTGAAGCCCTGGACAGCTACGCATGCAAGTAAGTCAAGCGTCTTTCTCATGGCCCAAGATGACACTGTGGTCCATACCTTTCAGGAAGCTTGTATGACGCACGCAGAGGAGATTTTTCTATAGGAAATGCTAACTTTCTTTTTACTTACATAATTTGGTGAACATAGTCTGGAAATCCAGTTCTTCATTGAACTTGAAAAAGGTAGACTTGTGGGAAATTTGCTAAAACCAATTGATTTCAGCCAGATTCTAGATTTGTAAAAACATTGCACCTATATTCACACTGGGCTTGTTGCCTGTGATGTTTAAAGCTAGAGAGAGAGAAAAAAAAAAAACCTTAGTAGTCCATTTTTCACTGTTGTCTCAGCAACAGCATTGAGGAATGAAGTTGCCAGGGTTTTTTTGTTTTGTTTTGTTTTGCTTTTTTTTCTCTTCTAGCTCCCCTGAGCAACCGGGCAGGGCAAATTTTGACCAGAAAAAAATTCCGAAGACCTAGACCTCTATGATACTCCCATGGAGTTCACCCAGAAAACCTTTCCTGTGTACTGTAAACAGTGTGGCGGCTGGGAAAAGGGTGGGTCTGTAAGGTGTTTACAACAAAGGAAGGGAACCTGAGTTTGGAAACCTAGCTCCCACATAAAAAGCCAGGTGTGGCAATGAAGCCCCGGGCCTGGAGAGGTGGAGACCAGAGCATTCCTGGCTGGGCCAGTGAGCTCCAGGTTCAAGAGAGACTGTATCTCTAATTATAAAGTAGAAGGTCCGGCCACTAGGCTCCTTGGACAAATACTCTCCCCACCAAGCTCGGTCCCTGAGACCCACACGGTGGAAGCAGAGAACAGACTCACGCCTGCTGTCCTCTGACCTGCACACATGCTCTGTGGCATCCGAGCAGCCATGCACATATACACACAAGGAAATAAATATTTTTAAGAGGTGGAGAGCAGAGGAGGAAGACAACTTCTGGTCTCCACACGCACTTGTATGCACACCTACACACATGCACACACACTCACACACACACAAATAAGCAGTACTACATTCTACTTTTAATTAATTTCATGTGTTCAGAGCAATGTGAGGGGATGGGTAGATTTGTAAATATACATAGGCCTCCTATGGCTGGACCTGTAAATCTCCAGAGTATTCACTATGGGCTTACACAATTTTGTGATTTTTGTTAACAATAATGAAAAGAGTAAATTATTGGAGGAAGGAGAAGCTATATTTGACTAAGTATATGGTCTTACATTGAAAAATTTGCATGACAAAATTTGTGGAAATACTTGGAAATACTAGTAAAAAGGACTCAATTCTAGTAGACCTCTGCTTTCAAGTTCATATGTACACACTGTGATTTTCTAGTTCAAGATGCTTGTAAGTTTAACTTATAATAATTAACTTTAATAGTTAATTAATGTTAGCAATCAAATTGTTTTTGTATAAACATTTTATCCTGTTCTGCCAAATACAACATTACAAAACTAAATGTCTAGTTGATTGCTTATAGTTTATTTCCTTCAAGGTCACTAACTTTAGGGCCCCAGACCATAACTGCAATATGAAGGATACTAAAGTGCATTGTAAAAGCACAGTTTTCCTTTTAATCTGACTCTGCCAATCCACCAACACAGATTTTGTTTTAAATCATTGAGTCCCTATGAAAACATCATCTTTCTTTGGTTTTAAGCACAAGTTACTATAAAATGACGGTTAAGCTGGAGCTGGGCAGAGGCACAGGAGCACACCTATAATCCTAACACTTGGGAGATGGTAGTAGGAGAATCAGGATTCTAGATCATGCTTGGCTACATAGTTACTTCAAGGCCGGCCTGGACCACAGGAGACCTTGTCTTAACTTAACAATCCAAAGATGAAAATGTCACTCACATTTAAGGGCCTTTAACCAAAAGCGATGTTTAGAATCAATGGTGTCCGCAGTCATTGGGGCATAGTTTTATTTCGAGCTGATTTAATAAAAATGTGTTTTTAGCAGGTCTTCAGTGCCTCCCCCCGTTTGTCCTGTCAACCTCCCTTCCATCCTATTAACTCCCTGAGTTTCCAACCTCAGGGAGTGCCTGTCAGTTCGGCTTTGTCAGGAACATGCCACTGTCCTGCACAGAGCAGCTTGTAAAGGCTCTTCCTTCCTTGCTGTGAGAAAGATGCAGAGCCCAGGGACACGATGTAGGGGAGAGAGGCCTGAAGCTTCCACACTAGTTCCTATAACTTTGCTGGCCTGGATTCTTGGGACATTCCAACTGTTGAGCTCAGCGGAGGTCTTCGTTCTTTCTGGTTTGGCTTTGCCGAACCTCCTTCTGACACACCTTTTACAAAGCAGAACCCCCTACAGCAGGGCTGTGTGGTTTCTTGAGGACAGGTGAGGTTGGAAAATGCTTCAGACTCTGCCCTTCCTCATGGGTTCATGACCACAATTCATTTGAAAGGCTGTTTTGGTCTAGGATGACTTCATATTGTTTGGCCATGGAAACTCAAACATATTTGGCCTGGGAACCTTTTGTTTGGCTTAACTAAGCTAATAATTCAAATAATCCAAAAGACTCATGGCTGTGCCCCACCCTCTTGTAAATGGCTCACTGTGCTAGGTTTTGAGCATCTCTGCATCACGGCCTGTGTGGCTCTGTAGAACCACTGGTCATTTGACTGACGTGGTCCTCAAGACGCCAGATGGCTTTGATTTGCAAGGGATGTCCGTTAGCATCTAACACTAAAAAACAAAACAAAACCAAACCCACTTTTTAAAAACATTTTTTTTTTTTTTAGGGATTGTCAATAAACAGCTGTGACCAAAATTAGCTAGAATTAAAATAGACCCAGGGAGCCTGAGTAACTTTATGCCTCCACCTCAGCTCCTGCTATCTCTTACACGGTCTGTTCTGAAGATTCATCTTTCAGAGGCGAATAGGACAGAAAGCCTTTCGAAAGCAGCTTGGTGTGGTAGACAGCGTAGCTTTTGACATCTGAGAACCACATGAGTCAGACCTGCCAATCAGCAGCAGCATGACCTCATGGAAATGGAAATAACTTAATGCTGAGTCTCTTCCCTTACCTGTAAAATAGGGAACATCTATCTATCTATATATATAAGGAGTTAAAAAATGGCGAATAAAAACTGTGTAGTGTGGTGTCAGTCATAGGTGATTAATAATCATAGTTCCTTTTCTTCCCTGCTCAGAAGGTGAGTTTCCACTTTCTTACGATGGGCTAAAGGTAGAATTAGGAGAGAGACTCCTGCTCCTTTGGAACTTTCAACAGTGTTTTTCCATGCCGTGTCTTCCCACCAGAGCTGCATTTATGTGCATTCTTCCCTCCGGGGACGTGGATGGGTTGAAGCTAGATCGAGAACTAAGAAGGGAATTTTAATGGGATGGTTTTTTTTTTTAGTTAATTCTGGTGTGAAGAAAAGGCAGTTGTTTCTCTGAGCTCTGGTTTCTAGAAGCAACACTTCCAGTAGGTGGCAGCATTGCTTCGCTTACTTGAGCGCATTGCTAACAAATTGGTCTCTGATAATTAAAATAATTTCATTGGACAGTACGGAGTTTATAGGCAAATGATCCCTTTCCCTCAAAATAGCTACACAGCTCTTGTGCCTATATTTTTTTCTTCATATTTTCTCCTGGGCTAGTGGTGAGTTTTACAAAAAGCAAGCAGTTGCTCCACAACCTCTGCTCTACTTCCGTCTAGGGCCTGCCTGCATGCACTCATTATTACAGCCTAGTGTTCAGCTAGGGACTCTCTGCCTTCCAGTTCTTTCCTTTGACCTATGACCACTGGAGTCAGGCCAGACATTTGTTTCCAGGTCTCTCCTGGCCGTTGGGGCAGAAGGCTTTGTGTTGGTTTAGAAAGGGCATCTCCTTATGCCTTTAGCCTTCAGGTTTCTCTGTGGTCAGTGTTCTGTAAGGGCTTATAGAGGCAGTATGCAAATAACTCCCCATCATCCCGGCCAGCAGAGAACAGGGGAAGGCCTCTCAGTATTAATGTTGTGAGTGCTGATGAGTGGGTCACAGCGCTTGCAGCTAACGTCGCCGGGTCACAAAGCTGAATCTAGAAAGGAGAAGGGTTAGAGACAGTGCATACTGAATTTGTAAATCCAGGTGCTGGGGATCTCAGGCTGACCTCTGTTTGTGTGTCACCAACAGCTGCGTCGTTGGCTATGTCGGGGAGCGATGCCAGCACCGAGACTTGCGCTGGTGGGAGCTGCGTCATGCTGGCCACGGTCAGGGACACGACATCACCACTGTGGCTGTGTGTGCGGTTGCACTGGTCCTTCTGCTCCTCTTGGGGATCTGGGGCACTTACCACTACAGGTAATTTTTTTCCTTGTCCATGAGACTTGACACCCTTTTCCTAAGCCATCCACAGGGAATGCCTGCCTCCTTAGGGTGAATGGAAGCTAAATGATTACCGCATTTAAAAGGAAAAATAACCTTTTTTAAGAAGCCTGGACTTCCCCACCCTGATGCTCCTCCTTTTCCTTTCCAGTCATTGCACATGCACAGGATTTGTGATCCTTCACGTTGGTGATAGTGAGGACCGAGCCCAAGACCTTGCACATCAGCTACATCCTCATATCAGATGTCTCCCACAATGCCTCATTGCAGTCCAGTCTCTTAGCATCACATATCAGCCAGAATAACTACAAACTTTCGTGGCCGCCTGTTGATAATTACCCACAAAAACTGCTTTTTGTTAGAGAAAATCATTATCTTCCCTAACTTGGAAAGGAGTTCCGGCCATTGGGTTTTGTTTGCAGTAGCTTAAATTTAATAGTTTAAAACCGTAGCATGCGCTTCATTTAAAAGCACTACCTTGAGTCAGGGAGCAGGCATCTCACTGCTTCTGCTCATTTCCTTTAAAATGATATCATCACACCATCGTCAGCTGAAACAGCTTAGGAAGTATTATAATAGCTTGTGCTGTTGAAAAAAAAAATCAGTGGATCACAAGACTTGGGCTGAAGAAGCCTTATAAACTCATCCTGTGTGAGTGCCTCACCCTGTGGCTCTGGTCCACTTACCTGCCAGGTGTCAGCTTTCTGGTGATCTGTAGAATACGTGGTGCTACAGAACATAGATACTAGCCACATTTACCGAAGCCTGGCAAGCACTCAAGCGGCAACTATTTCAGATCCTGGAAAATTCAGCCTAACCATCCAGGGTGCTCTCCCCAAAGACCCTGCTATAACATACAGGAAATAGTGTGGGCTCTGGGATCACCTTCCACATTTCAGATCCAGGCTAGCGCCTCAACACCTGCAGACACTCCTCCTCATTAATTCGCCTGTGCATTAATTCTCTTTGCCAGAAGGTATGGGGGCATCATACTTCTTTCAAGAGTTAGTATGAGATTGAGTTAGTCTGAGTTAAGAGTGTACTGTAGGCCCGGTGTATTGGGTCTAATAAATACTACTGGAGTTATTATGGTTTTATATGAACAGCAATCTTCCCAATAAGAGGCATATACTTGAAAACTTTTTCTATCACCTCCTCACAGACAGGATTCCCAGAGAGAAACTTGAACTTTTAATTTGGTGGCCCATTAGTATAACTGCACTTTTTAGCCTATTATTTAGATTCTGTATATATGTTTTATATATATTCTGTATAATATGTGTGTGTGTGTGTGTGTGTGTGTATGTGTGTGTGTGTGTGTATATATATATATATATATGCATGTTTGTAGAAAGAATGTTGAGTCATCCATGGCTTATCCCTCTGGAAATAATGTCAAACAAAAGATAGGTGTTTAAAACAAAAACAAAAACAGGTATAATGGTGCACACCTTTGATCCCAGCACTTAGGAAGCAGAGACAGGTAGATCTTTATGAGTTCGAGGCCAGCCTAGTCTCCAGAGTAAGTTCCAGGATAGCTAGAGTTACATAGTGAGTCCCTGTCTGGAGAGAGAGAGAAAAAGAGAAAGAGAGAATTTAAAGTTAATGCATGATATAAGCATTTTTGTTTGTTTGATGTATTAACACATATGAATTAATATTATTCAGAAATCTGGATATTTTTTTTTTAAGACAAAGTCTTGCTATGTAGCCTGGGCTAGCCTCAAACTCATGCTTCTCTTGCCTCCCAAGTGCTGTGCTTTCACGTAGCCATCAGTAAGCATGCACAGGGGGCTTGGAAGCTTATGGCTAATTTATGGTGCTTTTCAGCTTCAGGCTGCCACACAACAGCAAAAATGACGAAGGTACTCAGTAAATGACTCAGCCAGTAAAGTGTGTGCCACACTAGCCTGAGGACACAGTATGTGTCTGTGTGCCTGTCACCACAGCACTGGGGAGATAGAAACAGGGGGGGTCGTGGGGCTCCATGACCAGCCTGTCCAGCTGAATTGGCAATCTTTGGGCTTACCAGAGACCCTGTTTCCAAAAAAAATGAGATGTACAGCAATTGAAAAAGATACACAAGGTCTGCTTCTAACCTCCGTTTGAGGGCACACTCCCATACAGAGGCACACACAGAAACCCCTGTATACACTCACAACCATGAGAACCATGTCTTGACAAAATTGCTTGTTAGAACTCTTTCTTGTGTTGGCAACGCATCCGGAGTTGTGTAAGTCCCTGTGAGGATCTCTATAGCTACTTGCTCAGCACTACCCCCCAGAGCTGCATACGGGTTTTTAGCTGCGTGCTTGACCACACGTGTTTGTAGATCGAAATTTGACAAACTAGTTGCTCTGGGCTATCACTGAGTGTTTTGTTTTCTATTCTGAGATCATCTCGGGTTTTTTGGCTTTATCTCAGGACTCGAAAGCAGCTATCGAAAAACCCGAAGAACCCTTATGAAGAGTCGAACAGAAATGGGACCAGTAATGGGCCTGAGAACAGCGGGGCTGGGATGTCTTCTTGTCCCCAACCTTGGGTAAAGTACAGGAAGCTAAGAGCTGGCTTGATAACTTTCCTCTTTCCTCATGATGTTCAGGGAAACTGAGGTCTGTCCCAGCGGCTGGCTGGTCTCAGAATGTCTTTTAGCCTTAGCACCCAGCTGATCTTCAACAAGTGTTTTGACCATTGGACCTCTGATCCTCTTCAGGATAACTGTTGTTCTTCAGTATGGCTCTCTGAAGAGGCTAAGGTCGTTCTTCATGAACACCACGTACTGTGATTTAGGACTCCACTGTGGGCAGTGCTCAGTTCCTTGAGGTCTCGTGACTTTGTGAACTGCTAGATTACCTGTATCACACTTGACAGGCTGTAATGATTTAGACTGCAAGTTTAATTAATCTCATTTAAATCATAGGAGAGGAGAAATGGTTTCTGCTTGTGTGTCTCTTTTAAAATTTAAATGTGTGTGTGTGTGTGTGTGTATATATGTAAAATAATATATATTATTATATATATTATTCACAATTCACTCTGTGGTGGCAAGCAGCTTTTTGGCTCTGAGCTGCATTCGGAAGCCGGAGCTACTGAGCTGTGTCCTCCCAGCTGTCATAACTGCCGTCCACACCAACTGCTGACGAACACGTCAGAGGGAGCTGGGGAGAGCTGAGTCCCCAAACTCAGAGGAGAAGCAGCAGAAACAAATCTGCTCCCGTCAGCTGCCTTGCATTGCAGCCAGGGTCCTGGAGCCTATGTGCTTCTGGCAGGGAGGCACATGGTTGGAAAATTTGCAGTGCACACATCTTGACTGGAGCCAGAAATAACGAGCCTATGCCCTTACACAGCAGGCCTTTGTATTGATTTTGCAATATGTCACTGCCAAGAGAACATTAATGAGGAGACTAAGGGTGACTAGTGCTGTGGGAAATAAAAAGACAGAGAGGAAGAAAAAAAAAAAACAGAGCTCTTAAGAGTCAGCCTTCATCACCAGTATTTCTGTCCCTATTACCTAATTGGTGCCATTCATTAAGCCTCCCTACACTTCTCTTGATGAGAAAGATAGGTACAGAGGTTTTGTTGTTTTGTTTTGTTTGTTTGTTTGTTTGTTTGTTTTTCACACTGTTTATTCTGGGTTCTAGGTCTTTCTTGTGGAGGGTTTCTTTCTGAACCACACAGTCAGTCCAAACCTTGGGGCAGTCCTTCACCTGGTTACTTACTGACAAGGAAGGACTTCAGCAGCCTGTGTTCTGTATCCTGGAGTGTGGCTTACTTCTCTTCTTCTGTTTGATTTCTTTTACTCTCTGACCTGCCTGGCCTGAATACGGCCAGGGCCAGTCAGCTCTGCTCAGCTGGCATTGCAAGTGTGCAGTCAGTTTGGACAATGCAAACAATGACAAAACTGATCGTTTGTTGAGTAAAGAGAAATGCTGTTGTGGTTATCTGGGCCTCCCTTTTAGCACTGTGGCTCCTAAGCTTCTCAGCCTTGAGCAAATATCTGATGGATCCCTACAAAATAGTAGTTATTGTAGTAGTTATTTGTATTTATTAGTGACCATACTTACTTGGGACTTGATAGCATGCTTTGATGAATTATATATAACTTTATACACATACAGTAGTAGCCCATACATACATACACATGGCATTATTTGGCCAATGGGCAGTACTTGCAATGTCTATGGATGCTAGTAGTATTTGCAGCAAAACAGTAGCCCCCAGATATCCAAGACTCTTAACCAAGATTCCAGAATCAGATCAGATTCTTTAGTAAAGATAGTTGTATGCCCTAGTAGAAATTCATTAGTAAGGTTTCCAGTTAAAACTGAAATCTCTTGGGCTGGAGAGATGGCTCAGCAGTAAAGGCCACTGACTATCCTTCCAGAGAGCTGGGGTTTGATTTCTAGCACTCCTTTGGTGGCTCATGTTTGCAACTCCAGTTCCAGGGGATCCAGTGCCCTCTTCTAGTCTCCATGGGCATCAGGCATGCACATAACTCACAAATATACGTGTAGTCAAAACACCTGCTCTCACAGTAAAATAATAAATAGAAAATTTTAAAGATGGAATCTCTCATTAACCAAATACAAGTTGACAAGGCCTTTCTTCCTACTTTCATCTTTCATTGGGCGCTACAGTTAAATGCTTATCCAGGTGGTTTGTGAATTACAGCAGGATCCCCTGAACCCTTTTCTTTTCTGCAGTTTGTGGTCCTAGAAGAACACCAAGACCCCAAGAATGAGAGTCTGCCTGGAGCTGGCATGAATGGCCCAGCAGTGGATGCTGGCCTGTCTTCCTCTCTGCAGCCTGGTGAGTTGTCATTTTACCTCCATCTCAGTGTTTTCCAGTGAGAAGTGCCATCTAGTCACAAAAGACCATCAGCCCCGTCTAAGCTGAGTGAGCACCGGGCAGCACTGGCATGCCATGGAGTTTAGAGAAAAACATTTGACTGCATTCCCTCTTCTATAAAGACATTGTCTACTCTGTCCCCAGGCACACTTCAGTCTCTTAGACCCCTCTGGGTAAGCCCCTAGGACTCAGACCCTTCTGGGAGCTGCATAGGACTGCAGGCCATTCCCAGAATTGGTTCTTACCAGTTGCTGGGAGTATAGCTCCCATCAAGGTGGAAATGATTCTCCCCAACCAGGTGTCATTGCTGGTGGTAGTTTTCTTATTGGTGTAAGTTGATCTGGGCATTGTCCTGGGGATTTCAGAGTATTCTGGTCCTATCAGGGGCTAACTCAGCCAGACTCTTGGCTGAGAAGTCCAGCCAGGCTAATCAAGGAACCATAAAATCAAGCGAAGTTTTCAAGCTCTCCTGGAACTTAATCTGGAGGAAACGGAGTCATACATCCTTTGATATGATCCTTTTGCCAGGACTTGTATTATGATATGTCTCTTGGGTTTAGGTCTCAGATATCATTGTCCTTTTTTCTTTTCTTTTCTTTTTTTTTTTTTTTTACAACCCAGAGGACAGTGCTAAACATGCTTTTGTGTCATAAGCCTTTGGGAAAGCAAAGGGAGTTCTTTGAGCCAACAAAAACAGTTCCTCTGCTAATGGCAGAAGCCAGTGTCAGTGCCACTTATGTTCGCTGATATTTCCCGTCACCATATCACATATCGCCCGCTTCTGGTTTCCAATAGAGAGAACATGGGGGTGTTGTTATGGAAAACTCATTCTAAATTTCCATTTGGAACATTTTCTGCTCTGTAACCTAAAAAAAACTTAATTCGGGGAAGAGATTATTGATTAATTTGAGCAAGACCAGTATATTTAAAGCATATTATGGAATTGAATAAAAACTGTAATGAATGTCTTATATATGGTAACGGTTGCCCTGTATTTTTTAAAGTCAGTATTTTCAATAGTTGCCCGCACTATTAAAAGGTAAAAGACTGTCTTATAGTTACTACTTTTCCTTGAGCAGCTAAGGCACATCTTTCCTTCCAGAGAAAATCTGGATAGGAGGAGCACGTGGTACAATTTTGCAGCTTAATCCAAAGCCGAAAGATTTGACAGAAATGTGGTTATACCAGAAAAAAAAAGGGGGTAGGGTTTCCATATGATTAGGGCTGTAGTCCAGGATAGGGTAGGATAGCGGTTCTTAAGCTGTGGTTCTCAATCCCTATGAAGGAAGGTCGAATACACCTAAGACCGGATATTTACATCATGATTCATAACAGTAGCAATGAAAATAATTTTAGCATTGGGGCCACCACAACATGAGGAAGTGTGTGCAAGGGTCTTAGCATTAGGAAAACTGAGAGCTGCTGGGTTAGAATATTTCCGTTTTTGTGCACTCTTCAGCAAATGCGTTAGTTTATTTTCTTTGAGCCACTCATTTCCCATGGGAGTGGGCCAATCCCCCATCATGCTTCTGCCTCCTAGATATTTTCAGTGAAAGTGCACACAGGCCTAGGGTGGGAGGGAGAGTGAGGAAGGACTTGAAGGTCAGTTTTGGCTCTGAACCAGTGCGTTCCCTGCTCCTAGAAAGGCATGGAAACACAGCAGTAGTGGTTGACCACAGAGCCATCTTCACTGGCCTCAGCCAGCACCAATGGGCAAGGGTTAGGTGGAGAGCTCTGTGTTGAGGGAAAGGAGGCTGTGCTGGGGGAAAGGAAATGAGTTTCAAATCTAAACTTCGTTCTAAGGCATTTATGGTCCTGATGTGGAGCTAGGACATTCACAGAGAAAGTCAGAGCACACCCAGTTCTTTAGATCTTCTCAACCCACTGAGACTATGACAGTTTTAAAAACTGAGCCCCAGACAGGTTGAGAATGGGTTCCACTGTTCCTTACAGTTTAAGTCTTGTTATCCCATGGCTATTGCAAAGATCTCCTTTTCTAGACATTGTGAACAATGGAATCTCCTCCTCTGCCTCACTTCCTCCTGTTCTCTCTCTCTCTCTCTCTCTCTCTCTTCCATCTCCCCCTCTACATTTATTCCTCCTTTCCTCTCCCTTTATCTCCTCTTCCCCTTTTCATTCTTCTCTCTTGTTCTCTCTTCTTGGAATAGGGTCAGTGCATCTGACTTCATGGAGGCAGAAGCCACATATATATGGAATGGGCACTGGGCAAAGCTGCTGGATCCCACCATCAAGTGAGAAAGGACCCCAGGAAATGGAAGGAAACCCCCACTTACCCTCCTACAGGGAATGGCCTCTAACTGTGGGGGTGGAGAAGCTGCATTCTCTCCAGTCAGCCAATGGATCATGTCAACAAAGGGCCCCAGACCTACCACACCAAACACAGCCAGCTGAGCGGAAACTGGAAGTAGACAGAAGGTGAAAGATCACACCATGCTGGTCGATGGGACATTTTCCTTTAAAAGGTAGAGTACTACAGATTTGGTACTCCAACCACCATGGCTAATCACTGCTCAGTGTCCTGAAGACAGATGCGTAGCTGTGATTTGTGCTTCTTCCTTGAAGCAGTCCCACTGAAGACTTCCAAAGAACAGGTGAAGAAAATCATTAGAAACCAAAGTCAAGACACGTGTTCTAAGCTGTGTCGTCTTCAGTAGACTGTTTGGTTCTTTGTCTTCTTGGCTCAGACGAAATGGGTTAAAGCAGGTGATCACACATTTTGTTGATTGCAAAATAAGTTATGTGATCTACATAGAAGTCTTAGCTCAATCTCATGAAATGGTTGGGACATTATGTTGCTAAGATACGCTTTAGGTATTTTCTTCACTATCAGCATGGCCCACACTCATAATTTTGCCTTCTGAATTGTGACAAATTAGTGAAAAGAATTGTAACTTAGATTTACACGGAATTATGTCATTTATTTTTATACTATAAGAATCTTTGAATGAAAATATTTAATTTCGAAAACATTTCCAAAGAAATATCAGTGTTTCTTAACCATTATTGTCTTTCCCTTCCTTTCTTGCAGTCTTTTACAGTAAAAATGGTAAATTCTGGTGTTCGCATAGAATTTTTTACTTATTTTAAAATATGAGATTGTAAACAAATTGCTTGATTTATTTTCATCAATTTATTCTAATTATTTAAATAAAATTACTCTGAAACATCAGCATCTTATTATGATTTGATGAAGTTGTTATGGTTTGAGCTGAACCAAAGTGATCCAGTAAACTTGAACTAACTCTGACTCTAACGGCGCATCTCCCTTGCAGCCTAGGCTTTGCTAACACACAGGACACAGGGTGTCCAAACTGCATCACGGAAGGTTCAGTGTTTCAGGCTATTTGGACCAGGCATTAACTAGTCTTGTTGCTTATCTTTAGTACTCATTCCTCCTCAACTCTTTGGGTTTTGGATATGTAATCAAAATAAAATGGCATGAACACTCAGGTTTTCAAAGTGGGTGTGCTGTAGAAATCTGTGCAGACATACAAGGAGGGAGTGACTTCATGTTTGAGGATCTTACTTAATTCTTCAGTATGACACTTTCATTTGGCCAATTTAGGATTTTTTTTTTTTTCTGAATTCAGTTTTGTTTCAGTTGACAATGGATAGCCTGGAAGTTCACAAGACCCATCTTTTATTTCTGATAAGTGAACTGACTCCCCCCAAAAGTAATAGAAATAACCTCTCCAGGTGTTCCTTTTTATCCTTCCCACATTAACATTTCTGAAGCCTTAACCAACTGGCTTCCATTCGTGTACTTGAACACACCTCTTTAGAATCTCAAGATAGCCAATGGAATATGAGACCACAGTTGTCCAAAATACTTCACTGTGTTTGAATCAGAACATCCCCACTTCTTTTGAACTTTGCACTGATGAGGAAACCTTAGGAATCAGGAGCATTGTAAGTGTTTATCCAGGTCTCCCCAGTAGCCTCTGGTCCGACTATAGCACAAGCCTGCTGTGTGTTCTTATAGTCAGTACGTGACCCCGTCTGACCTCCCTTCTTTCATCTTCATGTCTCTAGGAGACACATGCTCATTTGTTTGAAAATACATATTTAAAAAAATCTTCATCTAAGATATTTGAGTTGTATATCTCTGAGACTACATTTAATTTCCTAGTTTTCATGGTCTTGATTATACCATACATGATAGAGATTCTCTGCTGTCACCTATTACCTGTGAAAGAACAATTTGCCCTCTGCGGCACCTAGCAAAGGCTTAACGCACCCTATTCCATGGAATGGATGTGGGTTTAGTTCTACCCATTGGGTTATAAAGTACCCCTTTCACATGGTATATATGATCATTGCATGGTCATTGAAAATGTAATAGAAGAACCAACTAATACAAATAAGAATTCTTCACAGACACACAGACATACAGAGATACACACACATACCACATACACACACCAAAACAACTAAGCAAAATGGCCAGGAGAATTTAAAAACTCTCATTTTAGCAAGATTTTGTTCTTTTTTGTCTTTTTTTTATGTCTTTACACAAGAACTCTCCTCTCTGAGGTTTCAAGCTCTTTGGCCCAGGCGTGCCTGAAGCAGGGTAGTCTTTCTGTTGGGACACTGACAGGGTTTCTACAGCTAGAGACCTTATGCTGGCCACCAGGAAAACATCAGGCTTTCTATTCCAGTAACATGGTCTGGCGGGGAAGCTGTCATGCTGTTTGCTTCTGTCCACAGCTGCTCGATGAGAAGTTCGCAGGTGCTGGCTCCTCCCCACCCTTCCTCGCCGTGAGTGCTGGGCGTAGGTCATCCTCACACCGTCATCATCATTGATTCTGTGAATTTCATATCATGCACCCCAATCCCACTCATCTCCCCATCTCTTCATATCTGCCCTCCACCCTTGCAATCTCCCCCCCAAAAAGTAGAAGGTGCGGTATGTCACACCATATATTCTTCTGTTCAAACAGCTTTGCTTACAAATGTTTATTTCAATGAGTCACTGGTCTGGTTCGAGGCCTGTAGCTCCTCTTACTCTATCAATACTGGATCCTCACAGGGACTCCTCTCAGATATCCTGTTGCTGCCCTGTGTCGTGGGGATCCTGCCACTTTGGCTGTACAGGATGGACCCCTTCACGCGCTTCAGCCATTTGTAGATGGGGTAGATGTTGGGGTGGGCCAGCTCAGAGCCCTGGATGTGGACCCAGGTGGAAGCTGAATTGGTCAGCCCTCCAGTTTTCTTGTGCCTGTGCCACCAGGCCCAGCTCTCCCACTTTGCCCAGGAAAGGGGCAGGGTCAGCTCTCCTGCTCTTCTGCCTTTGGGGCTGGCCCTTCTGAGCCTTCACAGCTGGGGCCGGCCAGCTCTACTGTGCTGCATAGGTGAGGTGTGGGGCCACTTTCCAGGAGTTCTGCAGCTGGCACGCACCCTCAAGTCCCTTTACTTCGTGCTTCTCACTAACATAGTTTACTGGCAGGCACGGTAATATTCTAAAGCACTAAGCTTACACGTGTAAGATACATAAAGATTAAAAAGAAAATTATTTTCTAAGCCAGACATGGTGGCACATGCCTTTAATCCCAGCACTTGGGAGGCAGAGGCAGGCCGACCGCTGTGAGTTCAAGGCCAGCCTGGTCTATAAAGCAAGTCCAGGACAGCCAAAGCTACACAGAGAAGCCCTGTCTGGAAAAAAAAAAAAAACAAAATAAATAAATAACTGAAATTATTTTCTAATGATTTAGTTGTCTGCAAAAAAGAAAGTATAAAATAATTCACAAGTATTAACATAAAGTATTAATAAGCCTCACCAGTCATGATGGCTTAGTTGGTAAAGTTCATTTTACAGCATCCCTTCAACCTCTGCTGTCAAGATGGACTACCAGAGCTCAATCATCAGGACACATGGTGAAACTGAACTGACTCCCAAAAGTTGTCCTCTGCCCATCTCATATGAGCTGTGGCACACGTATGTGCTCCTCCCTCTCTCACTCTCACACACACACAACAATAATAAATTGAAAATAGAGTAGTATATTTAATACAGTGAATTCCATATTCAGCGAAGTATTGCTCAAAAGCGGAGGTAAAACAAAGACCGTTTAGAAAAATTGGCAAAATGGCAAACAGGAACAGCTTCACTAATAAAATATTGAGGAGGAATTTTTAGCTAGAAGTTTATTTCAGACAGAATAGTAAAAGAATGGCAAAAACTAAACAAAGGGTTAATATGTGTGTGGTTGTAAATAAATATAAAATGTGGAAATTTTTGTGAAAAAGAATTAACTAGGGAAACTTCATTTGTCAGATACCAGAAATTATTCCAATAATGACTAAGTATGGAATTATTTCAGAAGAAATAGATCAGTAGAAAGCTTGGCCCATAGAAAAGGGGAAGACAAGTGAATGGACAATGTCCATGAGCGGGGTGGGAATGGACTCTGTTATTAGACACCACCAAGAAGATTGGTTATCCAATCAGAAAAAGGGAGAGCCATCCCTGCCTTCTGCATGTACATACCCATCTACGGTAGGCTGTCAATTTAAGTGAGAAGAGTTTATTGGAGTATGTTTTAATAACCTTGGGTGTCTTCACCCCCTACTTTTTCTTTGTAATTCACTGAATTTAATTATGGTTGCTTTTATGAGTGTGATTTGTCTACTGGAAAGTGGCAACTTATCGGTGGCTACACCACTGAAGAAAATGACACTTATCTACATAACTGCCCACAGTCTCCTAGTGAGGGCGGGGAAGCATTCCTATGCCGGTAACCACCACTGTGCTGGGTCCATGGGTGCCGTGGCCAGCCCATGTCCAGAAGACACTGTTTCACACCATTTCTCCCCAACTTCTGGCCCTTACATCCGTCACACCCCTCTTCTGGATACTCCCCAAGCTTTCTAGGGGACAGACACTGTCCTGTTTTTACCAAGCGCTCCAGTTGTTTGTTTCTACACTTTGACCAACCATGGAGCAAAAAGAGAGCAGCTCTGAGAGATGGGTAAAAGTATTTAGAAGGTGGTTTGACTCTAGGCTTTTTGTTTTGTTTTATTTGTTTGTTTGTTTGTTTGTTTTTGACAGTCTTACTGTGTAGCCCAGCCTGGCCTGGAGCTCATATATAGCCCAGGTTAGTCTAGATTTGTGATTGTCTTGCCTCTGCCTCCTGAGTGCTAGGATTTTTAGGTATGTGCCACCATAATTGGCTCAGGAAATCGGTTTCTTAATCAAGACTCAGAATACCAATATAGTAATATTTATTAAAATTAGTAACTCTTAATAATGTACCAGCTTTTAAATGAAATTTCAATATCTTCGGCAAACAATAGAGGACATACATCTCAAATAAGTAAGTACTACCTATAGTCAACAAGGAAGAAACAATGTGATGGAAAGATAGGTGGAAGAGGGAACAGAAATCTCTCTCTCTCACACACACACATGCAGAGAGAGAGAATGATCAGTCATATTAGTAGGCAGCACAAAAGAAGAGCCACAAATAACACTATTTCACAGCCATCCCATTGGCAGAAAACTTTAGTGACACAAACCCAATTTTCATCAAGAATGTAGAATGATCTATGCTTTCACACACTGCTAATGGGCGTGTTAATTATTACAGTCATTTGGGCATGATTTAGTACAGCTGAACACACTGAGAATCTGCAATTTGGAAATTCTAATCTTACCTTGGAGGAGAAATTCACTCTGCTTGTATTTCTCAGGGTGTTGAAGAGAGAGTTCTTAATGGCAAAATATCGGAAACCAAACACATACTGCAGTCACACGAATGTGAAGTTGTGATGTAGTTTTAACACAGAATACTGTTAAAATACAGAATACTGGTTCAAATAGTTGAATTACGGCTGTGTCCATAGAAAGAAGTGTTTGATTTTGGTCGTCTTGGCTTTTTTTTTTTATTTTTATTTTTATTTTATTGCCTTGATAAAACACTATGACCCAGGCAACTTATGAAAGAAAGCATTTCATGTAGGGGCTCACAGTTACAAAAAGTTAGGGTCCATGACCACCATGGCAAGGAGCACAGGAGCAGGCAGGCACGCTGCTGGAGCAGTA